AAAATCCACTTTGACAACTACAGATTCTCCCTTGGTAAACACAAGATAAAGCATAAACTATTATTGTTAGCCTCTGTAGTCTAACGTGAACTACCCGCCGCTTTACTTTCGATGGTTGCGGGTTCGATTCCCTGCAACCGAATGCACACATTCATAAGAATGAGTTTGTATTGGTCTGGGTGTCTACTATGTGAATTACGCATGCATTCACAACAAATGTAATTTAAGTATTTGTATCAGTGATCTCGTACCTATAACACAAGCTCTGCTTACCTTGGTACTAGATGGCGGTGTGTGAATTATCCAGTATTATTATTAAAAGTCTGTCGCCAAGGAGCACAACGAAGAGATACCATCATAAAAGCTACGACCACTCTTCCAAGAGTAAACGACTGAAGATTATTAATAAAAGAATAAAGTAGAAAGCATCCTGACCCATTTATTCACTAAACCACTTAGACCGTCATGATTTCCTTGTCGATACCAAAAACAGTCGAAAAATGACTATTTTTGATATGAATGTTGTTGTATTTTCAAAACTAAAAAAATATTACACTTAGTCCACTATGAACTCCATTAAGAGGCCTTTCACATTTTTTGGCCTAAAAGCAGTGTCTTTGGGGTTCTGGTTCTAAGAAATTAAGAGTCGGATATACATTTTGATTCCTGAATTATATAGATAGATATCTAATCTTAAAAACAACATCTTTGAAATGTTAATTTTCTCTTTGTTAGTCTTCCTAAATTCTAAAATAGTTTATTCAAAAACTCTAAATGACAGAAGTTTGGGGTCGTCGTTCATTAATAAACAAACATAAATTGATATGATATCTTTACTAAAACTTGATAATTACTTTATAAATTGAGACAGCATCGTCCTTTTTTTCATTTTCAACTTAAATATCTAAAAAATTGATCATAATTAAACCCGAAATTTCAACAAAACTTTGCCATAATCATTTCTAATTTTCTCATAAATACAACGAAATTTTTGCATAAAAAAAACATAATAATAAAGTTAATATACTTATAAATTAGAAATATGAAAAAAAAATATAAGTTTCTAAGAAAAAAATAAACAATAATAATAATTGAAAGTTGTATAAATTCCGTTGCGCCAAAAGTAAATTCTCAGTGCTGCGCTAGCGCTCGTCGAGGTAGGACCTATGCCATTTTTTACAACACCGCTAAGATAAGACATTCGTCAGTGAACATTAGTATAGAGCGACTAAACAATTTTGATAATTTAAGTAATATTTAATTAATTTTGCTAATATATACTTATTTCTACGAATATTAATTTAAAGTTGTTGTTAAATATATATATATATATATATATATAATATTTATTTTAGCATGCCAAGACAAAAGTACAGTTATGCCACAAATAAAACCTACCTACCCTGCTGGACTATGAAAAGCACAAGAGCATGGTATTTCGTCACACTAATGGCAATTAATTGTTAAAATTAAAAAAGAGAACATTTTAGTATTTTTAAAAATAACGCTTATCTGAGAGAAAAATGTAAGAAAATGTAAACCAATTTTACTCTATGTTTATTTTGTAGTTTTTTTCTAAATTAAAATAGGGTTATTGTTTATAAAAATACATTATTATTTTTACGTACATTTGTCTTGTGTTATATAGTGTATGTCATCTAGTATGCAATGTGGATTGTAAATAAATTACCAAATTATATATAAATTATATTCCTTAATGTTTAGAGATATTTTATCCAATTTTATTTTATTTTACACAATACAGATATTTCTAAATTGCAGCCATTCTGTTATTATACTCATTGGACTTTCATTGCTGTACAGTTATGTCAAATAATTATGCGTGTTTGGGTGAAAAGTCAACAACATTATAAATGTTTTTATTTAAAGAGAGTCTTTCAGAAATCTCCAGCAAAAGTATAAAATTAATCCCGCCAATGAGAGCAGAGGTGTTTCTAAGGTCTTTTAAGGTTCTGTCCAAAATCTCTATAGCTCATGGTGATTTCATTACATATAATCAATGAGGCGTCTTATAATAATTTATAAAAAGGTTTGACATTAACAATTAATTATTTATCAAGAATCAAGAATCGACCAACCAAGAACGAGAAGCTGCAATATCAGCCAATATCATGCGGCGACGTCAATGATGCAGGAACAGCAATGATAGCAGTTGAAGGTTTTTTTTTACAACTTAGAATGGCAAACAAGCTGACGGCTCTCCAGATGGAAAGGGGTAACCGTCGCCTATATACATGAGCAGTACCTGACATGTTCATATCAGCACATTGTTTCCCTCATGCGTTGCCATTCCTGAAAACTCGGGTGTTATTCCCCTGTACCTTGTAAATTCACTACCATATATATACACAGGTAGTCTATATAGATAGATATACATATACACAGATAGTATACCCTGAGAAAGGTCATAGACTACTTTATAGTGCGAAAAAAGTATTGTAAGGGATTAAAAGCGGAGATGAAAGGTTGCATAAAAGTATCGTCATTGTTTAAGTGAAACAAAGAAACTTTTTTAGGTTATAATCTAAATATATTTCCTTTATTTGGTCAATTTCATTATACCACGCTGACGAAGTCGCGGACACACCTAATATACATATAAGGATGGGACCTTTAAATCAAAACAAAGCCTTGAAAACACAACTATTATACTTAAATAAAAAAATTATTTGCTAAGTATAATATTTATAACAAGTGAATATGGCAATAATGTATCCGACTCTTATAATAAATTATATTGTATCTATTAATAAATAAACTGAATTAATACGTAAGAAGAATTAATTAGTAAATTTATGTTATAGTAATTTCATCTTCCTGTCCCAATTATTTGTTACTCATATTACTTAAGGTTTTGGCTTTTAGTTGTGCAATCGGCCAGCATCCTGACATCAACCCTCTAGGAATAATATAATAAAAAAATATGGTCATTATTAGCACTTTGATAATTAAGATAAATCACGTTATTTAAAAAAATCCAATAAGTAGTTTATGTTACTCAGTTAAGTAGAAACATATCACATTATTAATTAAAATATTACAAGGATCAAAATGGTTCATACTAAATCCACACCGATTGAGCTACACGGTTATTTGCGTCTGTGTGCGTGTATTACTGTATGTGTGCGTAAATCCATGCGATTAAACCTAAAGTTGAGCGGCATCATTTTGTAATAGGCCTCTTAAATATAGTGTAACAAAAAGAAACTACAGTGTAATTAGCAATAGAGCTTTATTATCTATATATAAATAGAGGTACATTGGTGTTGGAGGCGTGAGAGTTGTCTATCCATTATACTTGTTAGATACAAACCCATACAGACAAACAAGGACATATAAAAGACGTCACACCAAATTCAGGACTAGAAATAATTAAATTAATAAATAAATAAATGTTGATTTGTTTAAATTTCTAATATTCCTCCCATCCCTTGTCACACAATGTCACACTTCGTCAATATCATAATTATTTGATAAGCCACCAACTGCAACTATCAACTGATACATAATCACAGTCTGTTGTAAACTAGAACGAATTGCAACAGCGTTACATAAGCCTCAGCTTTTAAGATTCCTCCTCCCTTGTCACACATCGTCAATATCGTAATGTATTGACAAGTCACCAACTGCAACTATCAACTGATTCACGATCAGTTGATAGTTGCAGTATCGGAACCAAGTCCGTTTTAAAAAAGAAACAATTGCAACTGCGTTACATAAGCCTCAGCTTTTAAGATTCCTCCTCCCTTGTCACACTTCGTCAATCATTTTCGTCAAACCAAAACGTCAAAAGTAAGCGACAAATTTCACAGATTAAAATTGTCTGAAATCTCTTCAACTAAAGTAATTGTTGTAATGGTAGTTATCGTATTATTTATATTGCTTTAGTTTGAAGGTATACCGAGTGACAAGTCGGTGATAGCCTGGTAACTAAATTTGCAGACATAGTTCATTTGTGGAATTTGTTTCATATTGTGGGATGAACTACCGGCGACGCTTATGAACGTCAAGATTTTTGTATTAATATTTCTTTCCCAACTTATATAACAAAACTATTGCCATGCTCGTTTATTTATTTATTTATCCTTTATTGCACTATCTAAAATAATGTGCAATTGGCGAGCTTAATGGCCTATGGCATTCTCTACCAGCCAACTATTGGGTAAAAACAGAAAGCTGTTAAAGGGAAAAACATACTATTTGTATTTACCTAACTTAGGTAAATTTAGGTACGTTTGTGTACATAATACCGAATTAATTAACTAGGTAGTTACAAAATTAGCAATTAGCTTAATCTAATTAAAAAAAAGCTAATCTTACAATCATTAGACAGTCGAAAAGCATATTCAATATTAAACCTTATTAGTTACAATGAGATATCAAAATTACATTAAAGCATAACTCACTATGTGGTCTAAAATGACCACTTTAATTGTCACTTCATATAGAGAAGCACTTAATATCTAATCTTATATTTCTAACGGGGCCATCTATAAATTGCGTTAAACGAATTTCATAATATTTTACCTGGATCTTTTCACATCTCATCAAATTTGTGACGTCTGATATAATAATATCTTAATTATAATAATATAATCATACCTTTATTTGTCTCAAATAATAAACTATTCCAATTGCTGCTTATAAAATTTAAAAGTAATAATCAAGACCACGGTCTATAACTCAGAGGGGCAGTGAATCTCTCTCTGCTATTCAGTTATAGCCTACAAATTAATACAATAAAAAATCAACGATGACGATAGATTAAGTGCCAAACTGTCCTCTACTAACAAAGTAAACAAAAATGTGACAATAACTAAGCAAAATTACATTATATCTATAAATAATTAAATTAAGAAAAGCCATTTGAAAATTAATTTTATTGCTATATAAATACTAGATTTATTAACAAAATGTAACGTCACAAAAGTCATGACTCCTCCCACCCTTTGTCACACTGTGTCACACTTTGACACATTTCGTCGTCATATTGGTGACGTAATTTGTGGATGACCCCTTACAGGAAAGCAGTATTATCTGGACGAATTGATCCTTGAATTCAATTGAGCTTGAGGGGGGAAAGAAATTGGTAGTCATGGGGACCAGTAATCCTAATGTTTATACGGCCTGCCTAAACCTTCGTGGTAAACTCCTCATGATATACTACTTGACCTGACTTCATGCTCATCCTGACATCCTCCACTGGTGTCCGGCCAGCATATTTTTTTATACGATACGATGGTCACCAACAAGCGTGCGGTCCATCTGATTGTATATGGTTACCGTAGCCTATGAACGCCTGAAACACCAAATGTGTCACATGCGCGTTGTCGACCCATATATACCATTCTTGAAAAAAGCCACGCTGTAGTCTCTCCAGAAAATATCAGTAGAATACATGGTGTATTTCATTTCTGTAAAAAAAAAACTGACCACAGACACGGCCAAAGACAATACCATAAACCCAAAAACATCACATTATTTTTTTAAATCTATCAGGCAGTTTAAGTCTTATTGAATATTGCAAGTTATTGGATGTGTGAGCAAGTAATTGAGCAGTACTGGCGTGCCGGCGGCCACTTCTAGTTGCATATCCTCGTTTGCAGGGTCCTCAGTCTCGTCAGATGACACCGACATCTTCTCCTTACCTTCGAGGAGCAGGTCTGTTGATGTATTATCACCGGGAACTGTATCTATGAATACCTGTAGTGAAGTAGTTAATATTAGTAGAGTAAGTGATAATATAATTGTTACGAGTATATACGACCTACTTATTAATTTGTGAAATGAAATGAAATGATTTTATTTTGCGAGAAATGTGGTGTGCACAGATGTTATAAAGTACATATGGTTCCATACAATCCGTCTTATATGAAGACATGCAAAATTTTATATTAGTTATGCTTCTACAATTCTGTCTTTCAGATAGCTTATTACATTATTATATTATACAATTTTAAGAAATTATTATATCTATATTATTATTTAGTCATTATATGTCAATATTATTACTGTTATGTCATTACTATTATATTAATATTATCCAATTCTTAACTCATTTTACCATCAAAATTTAAAAATTCTTTTACTGTATAGAAACATCTCTCAATTAACCAGTTGCGTAATCTATTTTGAAAAATTTCAAAAGACATTTCTCTAATAGTTTGATGTATTTTGTTGTAAATTTTTATACACATTATTCTACAATTTTGATGAAATAGCGCACTATTTACTGCAGGCATTCTCAATTTTGTAGGATCTATTTAATATATTACGAGTAATAGTTTAGTTGTCAAATATAGATTGACATTATTGTAAATATATTATAAAAGGAGACAATAAGAATTATTCTGCTGCAAACGTACATATTATTTATAATAATAATAATAATAATCTCAGGACAATACACACAGCGCCATCTAGACCCAAGTTAAGCTAGCTAGAGCTTGTGTTATGGGTACTAGATAACTGATACATATACATAGATATTTTTTTTTTTGTAAATACACACATATTATACATAGAAAACACCCAGACCGATACAAACAATCATACTCATGAATACAAATGTTTGTGCCGTGCGAGGAATCGAACCCTCGACCATCGGCCGTAAAGCGGTGTGCTTGACCGCTAGACCACCGAGGTCGTCATTTATTTTATTTATTAGTAAACATATCATCTCAACAAAAAAGAACCCCACCACAACAATAATAGTGCAGTAAAATTTTAAATTAAACATGATGTGACCAGTTTTGGCGTAATATGGCGGGAGGTAATGATTTTTAACTGTATGACCTCAGAAATATATGTTCTGTTTTATATAGTTTATGTTTTTTGTGGAAATAAATATTATTATTATTCTCTTTTTTCACAGCTTAAGCTGGTGATTAGTACCGTTGTTATTAAAATAAAAGTTGCCTAAGTTCCGTATTACATCAGCTACCTGCTAAAAAAAGTCCCGTCAAAATCGGTCCAGTCATTTCAGAGATTAGCCGGCACAAACAGACAGACAGACATAAATCGTTAAAAGTATTATTTTGGTGTATGTACCGTATTTATATTCTTATATATATGCTTGCAGTAAAAAACGGTTATTTCAATATTACAGACAGACACTCCAATTTTATATAGGTATATGTATAGATTTCATTCCGCTACCTTTAGCATGTGCGAGACCACAAACATTCAGTGCAGAAACCTGACCATCGCTACTGGAAGTGCAGTTCAATTTTGACCGAAATATTACAAGTATAGGTAGAAATATTACTCTATAACTTGAAATATTTACATAGGTGATCACGTACCTCATCATCATCATCATCGTCTTCATCACATTCTTCACTGATACGGACGGTCGGCTGCGAGACATATCGAGGCGTGTAGTCGCTTTCGTCTGACGTGTAATCATCACTTTCATCACAGTCAAAGTAACGGCTCTGAAATTCAAAATATTTTATATTAATCGAATGGCGAACAGGCAGATTGCACAACCGTCACATATATACAGTAATATATAAAATTCTCGTGCCGCTGTATTTGTTACCACCACTTCCGTAACGGCTTGACAGATTTTTATGAAATTTTAGATGCATATTCAGTAGGTCTGCTAATCGGCTACTATCTATTTTTTATACCCGTAAGTGATAAGGGTTGTCCACTCCTAACATGATTTATTATTATTTGAAAAAAAAAAAATTTTTTTAATGTGACATTACAAATACATACAACCCTAAATTTTCACTCTTCAACCCTTATTTTTTAATAGCGATTTTATTTTATATAGCAAAACAACGTTTGCCGTTTACCGAGGAGAGAAATAATACCTACTAGCTGGGGACAGCTACTCCTCGGTAACATAATTTCTCTTCCATACTCAAGCTTCAGATTGAAGCACAGTTTACAAAGTAAAATATTCGACTACAGAAATAAACAAATGTAACATTGCACAGCGACCAACAAAACTAGTTTCTAATTTGGGTACTATAAACCGATTTTTTACCACAATGTTGGTAAACTAGCAAACGGCTTATCGGATGGGAAACGGTTTCCGTAGCCTATGAATATATGAAATACCATAGCTGTCACACACGCATTACACATTTTGCAACATTAATTCATATATTAATATACCTACTCAGCGAAAAGGGAATATATCAAGTATTGCGTTCACCACAAGTCCACAATGTACACATTGATTTCTCTGCGTATCCCATCGAGAATTGCAGTCGTGAGTGTAGTAAACTCATCTAAAAAATTTTCAACACAACTATCACAAAAGAAAATTTCGATTACGGCCGAAATTACAACTCCTGGATGTCAATAAACATGTTGATTTTCAGATATTATATAATATACTCGATTACCATATTTTTCACAGAATCTGCAATAATATGCATGGTTGATATATATATATGATGAAACGAAACGCAAAATTATCGACGTTATGTTGGCACGCCTGCGCAGTATCAGTTACGTTCCAGTCAACGCAAATTTTAAACAGTCGTTATAGAGTAAAAAGAAAATAAATAACACTTTGCATAACTATAATAATTTTAATTTTATTCCATAATGCTCTTTAGTTATTATATTTATTCTGTCCAATATTTGGAAGCTTGTCTAAATATATATATTTTTTTAATTATTGTATATGACTAAATTATATAATTTAATTACGATTTGAAAAAAAACCTAAATTTTTCATAATATATAAGTATTACAAAATTCCTAGGTTTTTTATTAAACTGGTACTCAAACTGAAAACCTAACATAGAGTGGGTAACACGGCTTATTAATCTGCCTTGTCTCCAGAGCCGTAAAAATAATAAATAAAAAAAACTGACGTCGTTGTCATTTACACGACTGTCAGTGCTATTAATCTGTCAAAAATGTCGAGGTCATCTGACGACACAAATAGATCAAATAAAATAATTTTCATCAAAACAAAGGCAACCCACATTATTATGAATCGTAATTAGTCATAAGTTAGACCATTGTCACCTTATTAAAGAACTGAACTGTGTTTGGTAATATAAAAACAAACCAATGTTATAAAATCGTGGTGTTTTTTTCCTTGTTAATGTTCATAATACTGTGAATTGACGACCATGGCTGCTGCGTTAGCTAACGACTCGCCCAAATATAGGAGCAGCTTGATATGCTGCAGTCCGAGGTCCGCAGACATTGGACCTGGCACGCCATCGTCGTCTTCCACGTCGGGCTGCGTTTCAGCGGACGATAGTTACGACTCGTACAACATACCAAAGTCTGTGAATAAAAAACTAAAGATTCACGGCTCTGCATCACGGGAGGAAGTCGAACGGGCCATAACACAGTGTAAGGAGCTCGTATTGTCGAGTCCACAGTGTTCAGACGAGAGGAAATGGTTAGTGAGATATTTAGTTGAGTTAAGATGGCGTTTGGAGGATTTAAAAGAGAACAACGGTGAGTCACGGCTGCATATCTCGATAAAGGGTCACCATTTTAATCGGCAGACGACAATAACAAATGGTAAGCAATACTGTGATCACTGCAGTGGCGTTGTATGGAGCATAGTGCAGGCGTCGTATGTTTGTAGCGATTGTGGTTATTTGTGTCATTATAAGTGCATAGATCATATTTGTAGGGTCTGTGCCCATGTTGTTATGACAGAGAAAGGTGCATTCGAAATGAGTATATGCCCTGAAAAGGGTCTCGCAGCCCAGGATTATAAGTGTGCAGAATGTGCGACCACTCTAACGTTTAAAGACTCGTGGAACGAACCCCGATTGTGTGATTACACCGGCTTGTATTTCTGTGGCACGTGCCATTGGAACGACATGTGTGCAATACCAGCTCGAGTTGTACACAATTGGGACTGGGAGAAGCGTTCCATTTCACGTCTAGCGTACCAAATGTTGATGCTATCGTGGACACGGCCTTACATAGATGTAGAGCAGATAAATTCAAAGCTGTTTAACTTTATAACGGAATTACAGTGGGTTCATAAAATGAGAAAGGATTTAGAATGGATGCGACGTTACTTGTGTGCTTGTAGGAAAGGCACTCTTCTGCTGTCTCCATTATTCATTCAGCTTGGAGATGTGAACAACAAATACAGCATGGCTCATTTACAAGCCATCAACGATGGAACTCTGGAGTCCGAACTGACAGAGTTAACAGAAATCTGTCGTGCTCACATAACAAAATGCCAGTTGTGTTCGGGTAAAGGTTACATATGTGAGATCTGTGGCAATAACGAAGTGATTTATCCGTTTGATAATGGTGCTATCATGTGTGACAATTGTAACTCTGTTTACCACAGAAGTTGCTGGCTTCGGAAAGGCCAAAATTGTTTGAAATGCATACGTATTGAGGAACGGAGAAAAAGTAAAATTAACGATGACAAAACAGATTCAAATATAGAATATGATATCGATAAATTTGTTGAATAATCTCTGGTTTTTTCCTCTATGTTCAGACTTAGATATTTTGTTATAGTTCTTTATTTTTATATACAGATTGTTAATAATTTTTAATTATTAATGAAAATAATAATCTTCTTAGTTGAAATCATGCATGGTATTATTTTATTATATAAAATCCTCACTAACTATATTTTAACAAAAACATTTTTTTTTTTCAAATAGTATCATCTTTAAATACTAACATGAATTAATATTTTAAGTATTAAACATTAAGTTTTATAACGCAAATAAAATAAAAACAATAAATATAAACTGTTAAGTAATAAATTGCATGTTTTACACTTTGTTGTTATAGCCGACTTCAAAATACGAGAATGTATTCATTACAATTGTATTTTATGTGTATATGTTGAGGAATGTCTTCCAAATGAGAACAAATTATAGAAATAATAATTTAGTAAACCATTTTGCTTTCAAAAAGAAAGCTTATGTATATTGCCTTTATGTATAGTCTACTCTAGAATGTATTTACTATCAATCCATCAATTTCAATCCAAGGCAGTATTAACATATCCATACTGTCCTTTTAATACATAATCAATACTAAATAAAAACAAATCAAAAATATTATTATTCATAATAATAAAACAAATCAAAAACATCTTATACATATAGGATATTTTAGTCTCTTATGTATGCCAATTTTATTTTCTACTAGCTATTCCTTCGACTTCGTTCTAGTGGAATTTTAGCTGTATTTTTCTAAAATAAAAGTTGCCTACTGGCAAAAATAGTCCCGTCAAAATTGGTCTAACCATTTCGGAAATTAGCCGAAATAGACAGACAGAGAGACAGACAAAAATTGTAAAAAATGTTATGTTGGTGTATTAGTACCGTATTTATATTCATATGCATTTAATAAAAACGGGTATTACAAACAGACACTCCAATTTTATTTATATGTATAGATACATGAACACCCATGCGAAGCCGGGGCGAGTAGCTAGTCATATTATAAAATTTAAAAGAATGGACCTTAAACTAGAATGGAGATCTGTATCTTAGAAATCCAGGCTTACATCTCTATAGACCGAACTGGTTTTTTTTGGCAGGTAGCTGATGTAATAAGGAGTAACTTAGGCTACTTTTATTTTAGAAAAATAAAGTTAAACTCCACGCGGACGAAGTCGCAAGTACAGCTAGTTATTTATATAAACCTTCCTCTAGAATCACTCTATCTATTAAAAAAACCGCTTCAAAATCCGTTGCGTAGTTGTAAAGATTTAAGCATACATAGGGTGTTTTATACTGTGTAATGATAAGAGGTGTCCCTACATATATTTGTGTTAAAATTTGTTGAAGAAAATATTTAATATAATATAATATAGATGAAATTGAGAAAAAAACAACAGTTATTTTCTTAAAGAACAAAGTTGGCCATGCAGATATTGATTTTTGTTTATTTGCTTTATTGAGCAATAAAATTTGGTACAAAATGATATAATGGTATAGAATTCACTCCCAGTCAACCTTTGAGATGTGCAGACTCTACCACTACAGACTACTCTATTACAGACTCTTATGATATGTCAAATCTACCGTCAGTTCGGAATTTCGAGATGAGAACTGACAAGAAACTCAGCTCGAATTCTTTTCAAATAAATGTTGTACATGTTTACAATATTACATTTTAATTTTTAAATTCAAATCTGGGAGAATAGTGTGACCACAATATTTATAATACTTTCTAAGAATTTGTAATAATAGTTAACTATTTTTCATATTCTACCTCATAAGGGGATTTTGCTAAAATGACTAGTTAGAGTTCAGGGTTTGGTTTTTGTTCCATTTCAATTAATTTACATGTAAATTTAGGTATACTTTGTGCAAAGTCGTCTGTGTGTATCTCTGTCTCACCTATGTCAGTCGCTAGGCAGATGCTTTGTAAGCTGTTTCGATTGAAGGGGAGATATGGCAGGGAAATTACAGGGTGTTACATGAAGACATCTTAGTCCTAGGGTATGGCACGCTTAAATACCACGGGCCAGGGGCGGAATGTGAATTTGTGGGGCCCTGGGCTAAATCTACTTAGGAGCTTACCTACCGTACCCAATTATATTACTCAACTAAAAAAATTAACAGCGACCAGAAATTCCCCGTTCCTTTACGATAGACGCGCACTTACATGGGTTGATTAATATCAGGGTTGCCAACCTTATGATAGATTTCTAACATTCTAGATTTTTTTTTATATTCTAAATATCATTTCAGTGGGGACTGGACTGCAGCCCAAAAAGCCCTTAGGTAGATCCACCCCTGTCACGGGCATCATAATGATAATGTGATATCCGTGATGCTGTTTATGTCATTAGGCGATTTTTTTGAAGTGAAACTTCTATATAGATTAGTGGAAAATGTAATAGTATTTTTCGGTCACAAAAAAGCGTTACCGTCGCGTATAGAGAGTAGACGATATATCGTGATGTCCGTGGAAATTTCAGTTCTCACTTACACAGACACATGTTATGCTACGTTTACATTCAGCCGCTTCCCCTGTCACTCGCGCTGCCGGAAATATTGCCGGGCGACAACTGAGCGAGAGGGCTGAATGTAAAAGCACACTGCCATTCGCGCTGCCAGTCCTTTGACTCGCGCACGAAAAACCGACAATCGAGGGGGCGCCGGGCAGCGCGAGTGGCAGCGCCAATGGCATGGGAAGTGTTTCCACTCGTGTTTACACTCTCGCGCTGCTCATTTCACTGCCCACTCGGGCTGAGTGTAAATTGAGCATTAAAAATAATTGATGGCATTGATTTCTTTTTTTTTTATCACGTAATTAGGCGATTTTAACGGTTGATAGAAAAATGGTGGAACCACCTGCGCTTAAGGTTTACGCTGGCGGGCCACCAGTGGAGGATGATAAGATGAACATGAGGTCAGGTCAATTAGAAGCATCTTGGCCAATGACAATTTACCACGATGGTTACCAAGGGGAACCGTATGGAGGACATCCTAATATGGTATATTGCTAGCTATGGTGTTTTTAGTCCACATTACTAACAATCCCCTTCCCTCCTGTAATTAAGCGATTGCCATTTACAATCTGGTGGACAGCTCGTTTGCCATTCAGATATCATAAAAAAATCAGATGTTGGTCAAATTGGCTCAAATAATTTCTTAGTACCTGTTATAATATTTATAATCGTAAGTTTAAATTCAACGAATATGGCTTTAAAATATATAAGGAATATAATTGTCGCTTAGCATAAGGCGAACCGTATGCTTATTTGGCATGTGTATAGAATAAAAAATGTAATCCCACAGATGCGAATAATTTGTGATAATGTAATAAATAAAGATTGTTTCTATAAACTCGTGTGTATTATTTTAACTTTATTTTATCTTATTGTGACAGAATAATTTCTTTTATTGGAATTATTAGTCGACATTATTAACAATGGCATCCCGCCAGGTTTTTTTTTATTCTTTACTAGCTGATCCCGCACACTCCGTTCCGCCTCAGAATAAATTTCTGAACGCACCCCGTTTGACAGTTTGTATGGGAAAATAAAATTGTTGTTTTTAGTATTCTCCATGCAATTTCTTCATATTTTATCACCGTTTAAGCCTTCCCTGGACTTTAATGAATATTTCAAGACTAAAATCAGCCAAATCGGTTCAGCCGTTCTCGAGTTTTAGCGAGACTAACGAACAGCAATTCATTTTTATATATATAGATTAAAGATTAATAAAAGTCCTTATCTTTCCCATTTCGTTCATTTTGTAAATTGATCCCATCGTACCTGAATCTTAATAAGAATACTAATAAAGTCAACAAACAAAAAGAAACTAGATAAAGTAAGAATAGAAAAAAGTGCCATTAACCCTTTCTCCTCCAATGTCTTTCTCCTCCAGTGTCACTCGACATAGAGTAATAGTTCTTGTTTAGCGTGGAGCTGGTGGAATAAAAAAAGGCTTGGAGTGGAAAGAGTTAATACTATTGTATGGTATTAAAGTAATAAGTAATAAATATTTTTACTTCAAAATAAAAGTAATCAATAATTATGACTTCAAAGTAAAAATTCTTACTTATATAATGTTACTGAAAAATGCGAAAGTAACCCTCTGCCTGTCTGACTGTCTCGCTTTCAAACCAAAACTAACGAACCGATTTAAATGATATTTGGTACATAGATAGTCTAGACCCTGATAAAGGACTTAGATTACTTTTTAATATGAAAAAAGATTGAAAGGGGAGTTGGAAAAATAAGTATCAAGCTTCTAGCTTAAAAATGACGATACTTCCATACAACTTTGTATGAGAGTAAAGAAAGTTGTATGCTCCCAGTCCCAACCTTGTATGAAAGTATCGTCCTTTTTAAAGCTAAAATTGAACATTATTTTTCTAAAATAAAAGTAGCCTAAGTTACTCCATATTACATCAGCTGTCTACCAAAAAATGTCCCGTCAAAATCGGTCCAGCCATTTCAGAGATTACCCGGAACAAACAGACAGACAGACAATAATTGTAAAAAATGTTATTTTGGTGCATGCACCGTACTATTACGATTATTTCAATATTACAAACAGACACTCCAATTATATTTATATGTATAGATATACCAGGGGTCCATAAAATTCCACTAACCTGACAATCGAGGCACCGACAGGACTCTCTGTAGGAGCAATTGGTTAGGACGTGCTCCAAATGCTGCAAATATTGGATCTGGTCGGTGTCCATTCTCTTCTTGCGCCGGGCCAGCGACGCCAGGAAGGTGAGGGGGGAGATGCGCCGACGTGGTTTCGTCTTTGGAGTTACACTGCTGACAGTCATCTTTATCAGATCAGATCTCATACAGCCTTATGCTTAGATATAAGTGAGAGCCTGATTGTAGAAAATAGAGTCCAACTCACATTTGTTTTCAATGGGATTTTAGAAATGGGATTAGTCGACATTACTAACAATGGCATCCCCCCAGGTTTTATTTATACTTTATTAATAAAAGTCCTTATCTTTCCTATTTCGTCCATTTTGTAAATTGGTCCCATCGTACCTGAATCTTAATAAGAATACTAATAAAGTCAACAAACAAAAAGAAACTAGATAAAGTAAGAATAGAAAAAAGTGCCATTAACCCTTTCTCCTCCAATGTCTTTCTCCTCCAGTGTCACTCGACATAGAGTAATAGTTCTTGTTTAGCGTGGAGCTGGTGGAATAAAAAAAGGCTTGGAGTGGAAAGAGTTAATACTATTGTATGGTATTAAAGTAATAAGTAATAAAGTAGATTGTAGAAAATAGAGTCCAACTCACATTTGTTTTCAATGGGATTTTATGTTGATATATCTTATATATAAAATTCTCGCGTCACAGTTTTCGTTCCCATACTCCTCCGAAACGGCTTGACCGATTCTCATGAAATTTTGTGAGCGTATTGAGTAGGTCTGAGAATCGGCCAACATCTATTTTTCATCCCCCTATATGTTAGAGGTAGTCCACCCCTAATATTTTTTTTTTTATTTTAGGCAAAACAACGTTTGCCGGAACAGCTAGTATAATATAATATCAATATCCCAGGACAATTCACACAGCGCCATCTAGTTCCAAGCTAAGCAGAGCTTGTGTGAGACAACTGATATAAATACATGGATACATTTTTTTTGTAAATAAATACATATTATACATAGAAAACACCTAGACCGAAACAATCATACTCATGAATACAAATGTTTGTAACGTGCGAGGAAGCGAACCCACGACCATCGGATAGTAAAGCGGTGTGCTAAACCACTAGACCACCGAGGCTGTCATTACATTATATTACAACAGCCTTGTGCTTTGGCCACCTTGGTGGTTGAGCCGTTTAGCATACAGTGTTACTACTAATGTTCGCGAGTTCGATTCCTCGTTTACTCAGCAGTTCACATAGCGCCATTTAGTCCCAAGCTAAGTAGAGCTTGTGTTATGGGTACTAGACAACTGATATTATTACTTAGATATTTTTTTATGTAAATTCATATACATAACTAGCTCTTGCCCGCGGCTTCGCTCGCGTTAAGAAGTATTATTATTAATTAGGTATAGTTTATGCGGCTTTACTTTTGTTTCCTTTCTTAGGGAATGGCTATGTCATAGTAGCTTTATGCATGCAAAGTCTCAGCCCGATCGGTGTAAAATTGACAAATTTTCATACAAACTCTCATCCCCTAATTTATCCCCTTGGGAGTAGAATTAATCAATATACTTTTTTAACGGATGCCTACGTCATAAGATCTACCTGCATGCCAAATTTCAGCCCGATCCGTCCAGTGGTTTGGGCTGTGCGTTGATAGATCACTATGTCAGTCACCTTTGAGTTATATATATTTAGATTTTGATACTGCACTCCTCACATGACTCTCCATTTGCACGTGGAGACAATTTCTAAGTAATTTCTTAGTTAACACCTAGAGGCATTTTCTCCCAGTCGTCTATGGTTGACTGGGTGTAAGAAGAGAGTTTAAGAGTATAAACACGAAAATTTTATATATTACATAAAAAAAATGGAATTGAAACCAAACCAAGCTTGTTTGCCATTTCCGTTAAATAAAAAAGTTATTTTTTGACATCACAACATACTTATTTCCAAGGGAATTGAGCAGTGCCGGCCGCATCTCGGCGTCTCTTTCGCACAGTGCCGTCTCGCTCGTGCGTCTGTTAGTTCGTCTTTTTATACCACTGCCGATGTCCAATTTGTCATCTGAAAGAAAATCATGGCAATAATCTTTACTTGTCTCAAACAAAAACTAATACAATTGCTGCCCATACAATAATAAAATTTAAAAGTAATGTAGGTGACAAAACGGTCTATAACTCAGAGGGGGCAGTGAGTCCATCTTCTCTGCTATTCTGTTATAGCCTTTATTAGTAAATTAATACAATAAGCTATCAACGACGACGATAGCACATTAAGTTCTAAACTACTAACAAAGTAGTAAGTACATAATAATTGACAATAACAAACTTAAATATATATACATATACATCTAAATATTAATCAGGATTACTTACAAATATAAATAAAAAATGTTGTAACTGGCTAATCAGATATGTATTTTATATTCTAAATTTGTATTTGAATTTATAGTTCTTTTATATTACATTCTTGTTTTTGATAATTCAATTCATTCTTTCTGTTCCTATATGTCAGTCTATTATTAATATATTTTCTCTGTTTTTACCAAGTCTTTTTTTCTTATTACTACAACAAAAAATAATATCAGCACAGTCAACCAGGGGCTCAGAGTGGGATAGCAGTTTAAAATATTATATAACTAGCAAACTATACGTAAGTACTACGTCGCCCGAGACACGTTCTTATTGATCCCGACGACGGCAGTTAACCTCCCTACGGGTCCTCCCGTTCCGTTCCGAACACACGACACCGTCCTCGCCGGCGAAGACAACGACCTCAAACACACCTTACTGCACAATCAAGTGGGCGCTTACGCGCGCCCGGTGTGGAGCGCCCCACACCGTTGCCCCCGGTCGCCCCTCAGATTGATTCCCCGTCCAATTCAAACGGGGATCGAAATTACGACGGCCTGAGCCGAGGTTAGAACCCTTAAAGGTGCTCTCATACTAAAGTCGTATCCGTCAGGCGGGCGGGAGTTAGAATAGAATAGAATAGAAAATCATTTATTCAAATAAACTTAATTTAAGCAGTTTTGAATAGTCAACATTTTTTTAGTTGTCTTCACTGTTGGTCTTCAGCCGTTCCATAAGTCTTTACTTTGATTTTGAGTGCCATCCGCACTCGCCCCCTATCGTCCGTTGAAGCTGTAAAGGCCAGCTGCGGCCTACAGCATTAGAGTAGTCCGAAAAAAAAACCGCAGTCTTACCCCGATATGTTTTCTTCATACAAAATGTTTTTTTTTATAACACAGGGAACAAACGAGCATGCGGCTCACCTGATGGTAAGTGATTACCGCCGCCCATGAGCACCCGCAGCACCAGGGGAATTGCAAGTACGTTGTCGGCCTTTTAAAAAGGAATAAGCTCTTTTCTTGAAGGTTTCAATATCGTATCGGTTCGGAAATACCATTGCTGGAAGGTGATTCCACAATGTGGTTGTGCGAGGCAAAAAGTTTCTAGAAAACCGTACTGTGGAAGACCGCCATTCATCCAGATGATCAGGATGGTATTTCAGTTTCTGGCGGGTGGTACGGTGGTGAAACTCAGCAGCTGGTATTAATCCGAACAATTCCTCAGAACACTCCCCGTGATATATGCGGTAGAAAATGCACAGAGATGCAATATCACGCCGCAAAGCCAATGGGTCGAGTCGAGGTTACACCCTATAGCACCACCACCAGCATGTATCTGTATGTTTTTTCTAAAGGATGAATATGGAATGGTGCACCCACCTGCGCTAACGGTTTACGCTGGCGGGGCACCAGTGGAGGGTGATAAGATGAACATGAGGTCAGGTCAGTTATTATATCGTGATATAAAAAATCACCTGATGTATCTGTTTGGTCGCAGTAGCTCCAGTTGCTAGTTGCGTTCGAGCAGCTATTGTTGTCTCTATCCGTCTGTTCCGTCCACGTCTCGCTAACTGACGGGTTCCTGTATATAGTTTCTGTGGATGCGTTTCCATTTTCAACGTCGCACTGTGACTCCGGCTGCTGGAGGACCTGGTGGAATGGAGATAGGATCCTCATTATTATGTCATTAACGGCCTCGTCGCTTTGCTTCCAATGGTCGCGGGTTCGATTCCTCGCGCGATGCATTTTTATCATGAGTATATTTGTTCGTATTGATGTGAGTATTTTCTATATTATATTATGTATGTATTTATATCTACTCCCAAGACAATTCACACAGCGCCATCTAGTCCCAAGCTAAGGAGAGCTAGAGGGTACTAGACAACGGATACAAATACATTTTTTTTTTATAAAATATGAGCATGATGTCACGCCAGTTAACCGATGGTGGCCAATTTACCGGTATTTACTAGGATTATTTCGGTTGGATTATATAGATAACAGTAGAAACAACCACTGTTCATAAGGTTCTAATTTGCAAACTTGATATCTCCAATATACCTAACAATTTTTTTAACGTATGATAATGGAAAGGTACTCCTTCGCTAACGGTTTACGCTGGCGGGGCACCAGAAGACAATGGTAAGACAATGGTAGGATGAAAAAGAAGTCAGGGCATCGTAGGAATATCACCAGGAACTTATCACGATGGTTTCCAAGGGGAACCGCGTGGTGTTCAACCTGACATGGTGCGTTATTGCCCATTACTAACAATTCCATTTCCCCCCAATAATAGATATTCCCCGTTATTAACAATCCCTCTGTGGTAGTATAGAAACTCTTTATAATACTATGATTTGTTTTTTTATTGTCTTGTCATATTGTAACATTTCAACATGTATATCTTACTAGCATTTTAGTTGAATTAAACCAATATTTCCTTATGGTCTATATCGTTTTGTATCACCCTCCCTCCCGTTACGATGTATTTAAACGTATAGGTAGATGTAAAAATGAAAAGCATGCTTGCACGTGTATATCTATATAAAAAAAATATATTGTTTTGGTCACGCGGAAAGGACCTAGTTTGCAATTGTGGATGCATGCACTTAGACGTAGGGAAGTCTCTGGCAATATTTATTATATCCGATAGATTGTGCATATTTCATTACCTGGTAATGAGCACGGTTGCCCAGAAAAAAGACTGCTCCAGATCCTCCTGTAGTCATTTCCTGTAATAAAATTAAAAAAACATTATAAAAATATAACCTCCACACATATAAAATATTGCTACATTTTAAGAATAACGGAACGCACGAAATATTTTATTTTTTATTTTTTAAATAGATATTATTGATGGATGCATTTCCGGTAGTTATAAATTTATTGCCATAGTATTCGATTTATTATTACACAATTAATTTATTTATAAAAAACATATTTACCTATAAAATTATTGGACGTATTTTATATTAATTTTTAGTATACATATGAAAAGATAATATAGATTATTTTGTTTCTCATGTCATTTTAGTGGTCAGGTTGTTGGTTGTCAGAAAATTGACGGTATTTTGACTTGCGCAGTACATTGACTGTGTTGCTAGGTGATATTAAAGATTCCCTTATGTAGGGTAAATTTTTATAGTTTTAGATTTATTTTAAATAACTACGATTAAAAATATTTATATGTACTAATCGATATGTTATATAAATTTTAAGTTACAAACCAAATATATAATGAATCATAGATATATGTATCGTACATGCTAGCGGCGTATGTCTTGCTTCAACGGATGTAGTAAGTACTTACTTCCTGACGGAAGCATTGTTATTCCATACCAATTGCTTTTATGAAAACATTCAAGTTGCATCACTTGCAACGTCGTTCAAGTTAAAGGATGTAGCAATAGATGGCGTTTTCTAAGATGTTGAATGAATATTATTATTAAAACTGTTTTGTAGGAAGATATGCGATATTAATTTAAAATTAAATATATTTATCCTTCGTTATCATTAATTAAGGTTTTTATGACATTAAAATTAATTAGGTATGTAGGTTAATAATGTTTTTTTTTTCAAAACATAAGATTTCAAAATAGGAGTCAAATTCGCCACACTGGTGCTGTAGGCAGTCATTGTCAAGTTCAAGCATTCGTCATTCTAAAGTGTCGCGGGTATCCAAATACAGTCTAGCAATTTCTTCTAGTCGACAGAATGGCAAATGTTGAAGTTATGTTCTTATGCGACATGGAATAAGATCTAAATTTGGGTGTGCGGTGCACTTGATTGAAGCGGCTGCACAGGACCACTCTACCATGTGACTGCGGACTCCCTGAGCGAAACTAGCAGCCTTTCATATAAGTAGTTACGGGGAAAGGAATTTTCATAGCGCGATTCAGGTCTGCAGATTAATGAGAAGTGTAGAGATTTTATTTTGAAATAAGAATACAACATACTTTTAAAAATACCAGTAAAAGTTTCTAAATAGCATGCATAGTACAACAACTTGTGTGAAACGAAATTGCATTTTCCATGCACTACTAGGGTTCTAATATCAGTGGGTAATTTTAATCTTGGAAACTTTGTCAGAAAATCCTTTCATTCCCTTATGATTGATAAGAAATCTACCAAAAACTTATTGGATATGGGCATTCCAGAAAGTGTTGAATGAAATATCTTCTAAATTTAAATTAAGTTCTTATAGATACAAAATTGGATATAGAAACTTTTGTTTATAAACATGGATATAACATTAAAATGTTATCAACATTATTTTAATTATTTCAAAACAACAATTGTTGCAAATATGTTCATTAGAACAACATTATTTTTAATCCTGTCAACCTTAATAAATGAGTAAACAAATTAGGTAAACACTTAATTAAACATTAAGTTATTAGTTTATTTATAATAATTTATTGTAAGAAATGTTACTTATCATTACAACTTTAATAAATTTATGAGCTGTTGTATCTATGACTGATATTGCTCTGTGTGCTATAGAATTTCTGTAAAGGGGTAGAATCAGGTTTCTCCAATAACCGACAACTGTTAAGGTAAAGCATCACAGACATCCTATTATAAGAAAGACTGAATAATTTTTATATAGAGTCGTTTTTTAAATTGACACTGTAAAGTAAGATGAATTTAAGATGAACATTTTTTTTTTTAATTTGTCAATCGCTTTAAATTTGTTCAAATAAATAATACAGTAAATTTAAAAGACTAAAGGTTTTTTTCGTACTATTCTAATGCTGATTTGCTGCGTGACGTACACTTTTAATATTAAGGAAGAGTTGGTTGGTCGAAAAAGTGTGACAAAAGAAGGTTGCACAAGTTATAATCTTTGTTTAAAAAAAATAATGAAAACTAGTGATCAAGCACTAGATTTGTGACGAGTGTAGATGAAGGTTGGTTAGTCGAAAAAGTGTAACAAAAGGACGTTGAACGAGACACAACCGTTGTTTAAAAAAATAATAAAACTAGTAGTCAAGGTATTTGTGACGAATGACGAGCGTGCATGGCAAAGTTGTTTTCGATTTTCATTTAATGAAGACACCTATATTAATATACGTCGTAAAAAGTGTGACAGAAGTAATTCAATTGAGACGAGTTATAATATATGTTTAAAAAAAATAATGAAAACTAGTGGATAAATAAATTATTTTTGAATTTTGGATCTTAGAATGCCTAGATTAGTGACGTGATGTACAATTTTAGTATTAAAACATACAATATGACCGACTGCGACTGGGGAAGAGGTTTTAATATGTATAAAAATAAAATGTATATGACGCAACTTGAATACCCTCTCGTATAAAAAGTATAAAGTTTTAAATTAATTAATTAGATGGTATAAGTAATTCAAATTCAAAATATCTTTATTCATGTAGGTCTATTACAGACTCTTATGATATATCAAATCTATCGTCAGTTCTGATATCGAGATGAAAAGAACTGACAAGATGCTCAGTTCGTATTCTTTTCAAATAAATGTTGTACATGTTTACAATAATATAGAATTATTTAAATTCAAATTTGGGAGAATAGAGTGACCACCAGCGTATGCTATTGCAAAAAACAAAAAATCTTATCAGTGTTCGCAACCTGACCAAAAATTACCTAAACAGTAGCCATAATGCATATGTTTATCGTTTACTAACTAACTAGCCAGCTTTATAATTTGTATGTTAACATTATTAATTAGTAAATTACAAGGTCGTTTAATAATAGTTACAATTATTATTATGTTAATAAATATTTATCTTATCGTAATAGACAGATTAGTGATGATAAATCAGATAATCACTTTACGCTTAAATATGTTAGATTTATTGTTAAATTATTAGACAAATTTACGACGAACTGATTTGTCCATTTTAAAACATAAAGGTTTTTTAACGTTATGAGTACAAAAAACCTTTGTAAGTAACTGGTCGTATATTTGAAACGTAATAAAGTAAATACACAAAATAATAAAGTTATAGTTATATAACGGTTATACCTAATAAAATTAATTGTATTTTAACGTAAGAACAACGTTCTCTATAATAACTGGATATGTAAAATAAAAACTATTTATTATTCCTTCATAACAAACGTATTTATTTGTGTATTTATTAAAAAACAGCTCTTTAATACTGTCATACTGAAAATTACTATAAAAATTTTTACTCTAACCTCTTGCTAAAAGCAAAAATAAACGAACCACAGATAAGAGCAATTTTAAATAATTTTTTAACTAAATCATTACGACGAGTACTGGAAATACTATATTTATCTTTAATCTATTCCTACTTGTAAAAGAGTTTATCTTAACATAATGTATAAAAACGCAAAGACCTGTAAGTAAATTTTACTTACGTCTTTTTTATATTTATTGCTAGCTACTCGCCCCGACTTCATACTGGTTTACATGTATTATATAAATAAACTTCATCTTGAATCACTCTATCTATTAAAAAAAACCGCATCAAAATCCGTTGCGTAGTTTTAAATATTTAAGCATACATAGGGACGAATACACAGCGATAGCGACTTTGTATAATACTATGTAATGATGATTTGCACTTCTGTGACCCAATCACCACTACTTGTGTCACACTTTGGGTTGACTGGAAGAGATATCTGTTAGTAATATATTTATTGCAGTTTAAAAGTGCAATAAAGAATTAATAAAATAATATTTTCCTGTGCTCTACCTAAGTAGAGCGAAAAAAAACATTTAAAACACATAATAGAAACGGGATATATGCAAAAATATCGTTTAAGGACTTCCGATATTTCGACACTGTTACGTTAAAAACGATAACCGTTTAATAAATAAATAGATGAATGTGTAGAACAGAAGAGTATCGCCTTAAGTTCGGTAGAGCAAGACGATAGCGTGTGCACTCGTGAATGTTGTTAATAGATAGTCTGCTATGCACTGTAGTTATGCTGTTTTCTTTATTCTTTGTATGATTGTGTGTGGGTATTTTCTATGTATAATGTAATGTTTACGAAAATAAATATATCTATGTATTTGTATCTGTTATCTAGTACCCATAACACAAGCTTCAGCTATCTGAACTTGATGAGATTATTATTATTATTATTATATTGAAATAAAAATAAGTATACATTACTTTTATTAAGAATGTTAACGAATAAAGACTAAAGAGTACTTTGTTCAGAAGATAAGCACAGCAATGCAGAGAGAGAACGCTGCCAGTACCTTGATCTTGGGTACATTACTATTTTGCCGCGTTGGATAACAATGATGGGTTTTTTAATTGAAATGGAATTGGTCGTAATAAAAATAAAAAATAAAATAGTAAGTCTGCATATCGCAATCAATAGATCTATAGATATCAATAAAATTGGAGTGTCTGTTTGTAATATTGAAATAACCGTTTTTTACTACATGCATATGAATGTAAATACGGTACATATGCCAAAATTACATTTTTAAAATGAGTAAAAGGAGCGATGGTTTTTATCTCCTCGGAAAAGAGTGTAAACTTTCCAAAGGAGATATTATCTTTATGCATGAGTGGGCTACAACCACATAGGATTTGTAGTGGCGTTTCCTCTTCAGTTTGGCAAAATCTGCAGATTTTTGTTGTGCATACATAAATATCCTTAGTAAGTTTTTTTATTTGGCAGCCGGAAATTGCTACCGTCGTTTATTAAACACGTATTCTGGACGGCTATCGTCATCGTCCGCTCCATTGCCCTCGTATACTCATCCATTTACGGTACGCCCAGTGACGATATAATGCAACATGTCATATTACAAAAAAAAGAAATTCAATTGAGTTTCTTGCCAGTTCTTCTCAATTGGATCTGAATACTGAACGGGACGTTCAAGTGCCCTACAGTTTCAAATTTATTTGCGAGGTAAGGTAGAGACATTTTTATTACATAATTATACTAGCTACTCGCCCCAGCTGCGCACGGGTGTACATGTATTATACGTATAAACCTTCCTCTAGAATCACTCTATCTATTTTAAGAAAGTGCTTCTAGATTTAGATTCTAGATTAGAAGCGCTTTCTTAAATTCCGTTGCGTAGTTTTAAAGATTTAAGCATACATAGGAACAGACAGCGACAGCGACTTTATTCTATACTGTGTAATAATAATGAAGCAAATGAAGCTTTATCTATCCTTCTGCAAAGTCTGTAATATAACATTATGTTACTAATAGAGTAATAAATAGTAACTCTACCTATTGCTATTGCATTGATTTTTGAAATAACATCAACTCATACATAAGAATATACATATATATATAAATCTTGAATATATATGTATTCTGTATTCTTCTAAACTGTATTCTCCGCATTTGGCCTCTGATCTGGGCCGTTGTGCGTATAGAGCTGAGACTACTAAAGTGGCTAGTAAAGCTCCTTCCTAGAATTCTGGATATTATAACAATATCAAGGATTAAGAAATAGCTTTGATTATCAGTCGTATAATATAAATTAAATATTGCATATTGGTACAATTTCAAAACGTTCACTGTCTCACAAATGCATGAAACCATCTCGACTTGTTACTTCGCCTACGTCACGACGCGACGTCGTTCGATAAACTGCTGTTCTGAAACACGCTTACAAAGTTTTTCACGAGATTCGTATATATAACAGGACCAAAATAGTACTGTTGGGGAGTCCCATGCTACAAGGTTAGCCGGTCGTGGCGGGGGGCCGGTGTAATCCCTCGCCATCTGAATATGTCGTCAACTGTCGTCATGTATGGGTTTAAATATTAAAATGGTTTACAAAAACACACTTTGATGAGATCTTCACAAGAGAGCTCTTCTCAAAAAACCGATGTAGCGACTTCGACTTCCTTTTGTTTTTGTTCAGTCTTACATTTTCATTCTGCGTTGTATAATAACGTGGAAACAATCTATAATCAAATTTTTATAGTAGAATTATGAATATTTAATTTATTAATTATAGGTACTTAATACTCTACATATACATATTAATACCAAATTGTTTAATAATAATAAATAAATACAGTAAAAAATAAAAACTAATAATAATAAAGTAACATGTAGAGATAAAAACATGTGTAATTTATTAACACTATAACTTTCTAAAAAAGCAAGAAATTAAAGGTTTTTTTAATTATTAGAATAATTAAAATGTAATTAAATATTTATACATAATGAAGCTAATAAAGACTAACAAAATGCTCTACTAATGACTACATGGCATAAAACATTCTGCTCTACTTTTTATGAATAATAATGTACCTATTTAAAATTTAGACGTATGTTTCGTGTTTTAGCTAACATGAGTGCCAGTATTTAATCTAATATTTATTACTAAAAAATAATTTCTATTATAAACAGTACAATAATTAGAGTTATAACACTTTATTTATAAAAATAATACTATAATAATATTTTTTACTAATGTCTAAACAACAAAAGGAAGTCAAAGCGGCTACTACCGTGTGGATGAGACCTGGGTCTCTCTTTATCATTTTCTTGACATATTTGACATTATTTTACCATATATGATTGCTTTACGCTTCAACATATCTGATGGCAAGGAATTAGACCGGCTCCCTGCCAGCACCGGCCCACGTAGTAGCAACGGACCTCCCGTTAGTTGAATATTCGGCCAGTGTTATATAGTTAGCGGAACAAAAAACTTTAATAGCGCGTTGTAGGATCTAAACAGCTCTATTTTGTTTTTAGTCTGTAGCATTTAATGCACAGACTGTGAAAAAAAGTTGACGATCTCTACGTAGAGCTAAACATTAAAGCAAATAAGAAAGAAAGAACTTATTTTATTTTTTATCCATATTTTTCTTCATTTGCTCTCATAATATTGTTATTTACATTATTTTTTTGTGATTGTTGATATGTGTAAAAAATATAACTTCTTACTCTATACCTATTTGACAGGGTTACTCTCTCATTTCATTCTCAATGGTCTCAGCCTCAGCTGCCTCAGTCAGAATAACATTTTTCTTACTCTACAACTGTGCTCTACAATCTGTACGCAAATCGATTTATAGAATGGAAAGTACATACAGTTGATAACGAGTAAGAGAGAGACACATTTACATAGGTAGTTATAAAGTTTAAAAATTATTCACAAACAATTTGGCAATTTAAAAATAATGTATTAATTGCAAATAATACAAATTAGAATTAACAAAAATTGTTTAACAATATCTTTTTGTTATTTGGAATAATGGGGTAAATATTTTAATAGCTGGCAACCCTAAATGCATCTCAAATCTCTCAACACTCAAGTGAGTGAATGATTGTTTCTACTTGCGTGTTCTTCGTCATGTACTAAAAAGATTTTTTTATTAAAAATACAGCGTTGTCTATTTATTGATCTTTATTCAATATTTCATTCTATAATTATTAAGTTGTGTCGATTCCATTGTAATCCATCAATATTATTGTTGCCATCAAATTGTAAGTATTGTAAATTGTTGCAAGAATCATAAAATTAATAATAGAAACACCGATTTTATTTTCGTTTTTACAATAATGTTGCAAGAAAATTTTTGTTTATTAATTTGACACATAGTCCTATATTACAATTTAATATTCTTTTATGTGTACAATCGCCATTAATAAGAAATAATTGAATATCTAATAATGTTATATTCATACAGAAGAGCACCTAATATATTCAAGAGACGTCGAAGAATAGATTCATATTTTAAGAATGTTTATAATTTAGGTTAAGTACCTTTGATGTATGTTTTCCACCTCATAAATAGTTTATTGTTAATTATGTCTAAACGGTTACATGTATTTTGAATGAAATTCATACAATGTGTATCTTACATTAATCTATACTTATAATATAATAATTAATATTATTATTATTATTATTAATATTATAATTATTATTATTAATATTATAAATCTGAAGAGTTTGTTTGTTTGAAAGCGCTAATCTCAGGAACTACTTGCTTCGAATAGATTTTTTTGTGTTGGATAGTCCATTTGTCGAGGAAGGCTTTAAGCTATATAACATTACGCTACGACCAATAGAAGCGGAGCTGCAATGAAAAATGTTGCAATATAGGGGAAAATTATTCATATTTGAGGGCTTCCGTTGCGTGTGCTGCGCGAAGTCGCGGGCACAGCTAGTAGTAATAATAATAATAAAGTAATAATATAAATATAGTTTTTTTAACTATTCAAAATTAAAATTTACTGACTTATGTATAAAATATATAAATTAATATTATGTGCAATTAAATTTAAATAACTAAATAAATAAATTTATTTATTTAAACTAACACATCTTTTTAAAGTACATGTGGCGGACTAACACCATAGGGCATTATCTACCAGTCAACCATGGGTGGTACAGAGAATAATTACCATCAAACAAATAACAAACTGAGTAGTATTGGTATAGATTATCTGAAGTATATCCTGAAGGTATACTTATGTATGTTACAGCTTTAACCGGAAATGGCTGATGAAGAGGGTCATCTTGTGGAGAGTGCCGGAGAAACTCAGTTATTGTCAGCAGAGTATAAGGATGGTAATTATAATTTTTTCTTTCCTGACGGGTCCTGAAGGTGTTTATTCTTGTTTCCAACTGATCCATACTATGTATTTATTTAAATTCAAATTCAAAATATCTTTATTCATGTAGGTCTATTACAGACTCTTATGACATATCAAATCTACCATCAGAATGAGTTTGAGATGGGGAGAGATGACAAGAAACTCGGCTCTATTCAAATAATATTCTTTTCAAATAAATGTTGTACATGTTCACAATAATACAGATTCATTTTTAAATTCAAATTTGGGAGAATAGAGTGACCACCAGCATATGCAAAAAATATATATTAGTTGTCTAGTACCCAAAAGACAAGCTCTGCTTTGTTTGGGACTAGATGGTGCTATCTTTATTGTACTGAGATATTATTATTCTTTACCAACGTTCACCAAGGTGGACTTTGTGCAAAATCACCTTACATGCTGGCAGGGCACCAGTGGAGGATGATAAGATGAGCATGAGGTCAGGTCAGTTAGCCCATCGTGATAAATTCACCAAGACTTATCAAGATGGTTTCCAGGGGGAACCGCGTGGAGGTCAACCTGATAAACATATGACACAATATGTCTCGACTTACGTCGTTTCGATTTATGTCGCGTATTTCGAGAACCTAACATGCCGTAAAGGGGATTGTTAGTAATGTGGACTGATGATCTTATTGCTAGCTATGTACCATACATTGCTAGCAATAAGATCATCAATCAATGTACCATACATTGCTAGCAATAAGATCATCAATCAATGTACCATACATTGCTAGCAATAAGATCAACAATCAATGTACCATACATTGCTAGCAATAAGATCATCAATCAATGTACCATATAGTGCTAGCAATGAGATCATCAATCAATGTACCATACATTGCTAGCAATAAGATCATCAATCAATGTACCATATAGTGCTAGCAATGAGATCATCAATCAATGTACCATACATTGCTAGCAATAAGATCATCAGTCCACATTACTAACAATCCCCTTTCCCAATGATGTATGTAACACTCATATAATATTCTTAACATTGCAGGCCAATTGCAAATTGTGGAAGTGACGCCTTTTGACAGGAGTGACCAGGTCAGTATTTTCTTCAATCTAATTTTATTCACTTTTGTTAATTTTGCTATTTGGCAGTTTGTATACACACAGAATCTATACATATGAATAAAATTGGAGTGTCTGTTTGTAATATTGAAATAACCGCTTTTTATTACATGTATATGAACATAAACACGGTACACATACCAAAATAACATTTTTTATAATTTTTGTCTGTCTGTCTGTCTGTTTTTTTCCGGCTAATCTCTGAAATGGCTGGACCGATTTTGACGGGACTTTTTTTGGCAGGTAGCTGATGTAATAAGGAGTAACTTAGGCTACTTTTATTTTAGAAAAATAAAGTTAAATTCCACGCGGACGATGTCGCGGGAACAGCTGGTCTTAAATATGTAAGGAATGAAGGAAAGAAAAAATATACATTTATTTGATACACACGTAAAATATATAACAAACAGAATTTTTAATAACTCATGTTCATCTTATCATCCTCCACTGGTGCCCCGCCAGCGTAAACCGTTAGCGCAGGCGGGTGCACAATTCCATTATCATCCATAAAAAAAAATTGACACAAAGAAATGGTACAATACGAGTAGGTATAAAAACATAGTATAAAACAAAGTCGCAGTCTGTCCGTCCTTATGAATGCTTAAATCTTTAAAACTACGCAACGAGAGGTTGAAGAGGTTTTTTTTTAATAGATAGAATTATTCTAGAGGAAGTTTTATATATATAATACATATACACCCGTGCGAAGCCGGGGCGAGTAGCTAGTAACATATAAATGTAATTTCAAAATCATATTAAATATTTTCTTTTTTATTTCAGGGAGCGGAGTCTCATATACTGCCGGACTTGGAGGCTGATGGCGGTCAGTCTCGATACGTGCAAGTGATCAACCCTGACAAGACTGTTATGCAACTGGATCTGCTGAACATGACCCTACTCAGGTAAACAACAAACAAACATACAGCAAGCAAAGGCTACCAATCCATGGAAGGAAAGAGGCAGGATTGTTATTAATGTACTAGCTGTACCTGCAACTTCGTCCGCCTGGAATTTAACTTTATTATCTAAAATAAAAGTAGCCTAAGTTACTCATTATTACATCAGCTACCTGCCAATAAAGTCCCGTCGAAATCGGTCCAGCCATTTCAGAGATTAGTCGGAACAAACTGACAGATAAAAATTGTAATAAATGTTATTTTGGTGTATGTACCGTATTTATATTCATATGCATGTAGTTATTACATGTATTATTAAAAACGTTTTATTCATATGTATGGTATAACGTATAAATGTATAGATAACAATAGGAAAATGTGAGGTTTACAGTTTAGACTTGTTTTTTCAATAAGAGATTTAAAGCAAGTCTAAATACTTGCTTAAAATTTCTTATTGAAAAAAGCTATACTATTTAAGATCGATGACCCAAACTATTCCCTTTTTTTTTATCATGTAGGAAAATAAATTCAAATAGACTACTTTTATTTTAGTAACTTTCTCTTATTTTAGAAAAATAAAGTTAAATTCCATGCGGATGAAGTCGCGTGTACAGCTAGTTTAGTATATAAGATCAATACTTTAATGTACATACTAGCTTTTGTTTGCGACAATTTATCCCTTTGGGGGTGGAATTTTTCAAAATCCTTTCTTAGAGGATGCCTACGTCATAGTAGCTTTATCCATGCAAAATCTCAGCCCTATCGGTTTAAAATTGACAAAGTTTCATACAAACTTTCATCCTCTATTTTATCCCCTTGGGGGTAGAATTAATCAAAATCCTTTCTTAGCTGATGCCTACGTCATAACATCTACCTGCATGCCAAATTTCAGCCCGATCCGTCCAGTGGTTTGGGCTGTGCGTTGATAGATCACTATGTCAATCACCTTTGAGTTATATGTATTTAGATTGTCCGCCTATTAACATCTGTAATATACATCGTCTCAACCGACAATATCATGTATCACACTGCAACAGCCAGCATTACATCTTCAACAATTACAAGGGATTGGAGTCCTAAAGTTGGTGTTAAAAAACTTATTGACATCTATAACTCCTTTGGTGTGAGTTAGTTGCCATTATACAAAAGAGCAACACACAAGTTTCTAACTCATTCTTCTTGTAATGAATCTCCATTCCGAATGAGTGGTAGAATCAAAATATTACTATGCAAAAGTGCTTGTATTTATAATTTATTTGAATAAAGATTATTTCTATTTCTATTACTAACAGTCTCCTTCCCCAGTAGGGAATTGTTAGATATGGGACCTGGAGGTCCCAGTAACTTAAGCCTTACAATTGCAGGTGTGAAGACGGATCCGGCTCCTACAAGCTGGTGGCCAGCGCTGAGACCACCAGCGACATACCAGCGGACTCCACCGTCACTTGCGTACTGCAAGGCAGCGACACTGAAGGTAACTCGGAGTCTACTAATATAATTATTTACTAGCAGTACCAGCGATTTCACGCGCGTGTGATTTATAGCCTATATGTTATTCTGATGTATAAGCTATATAACTGTAGAGTTGCATCAAAATCCGTTGAGTAGTTTTTGCGTGAAAGAGTAACAAACATCCATCCATACTCACAAACTTTTAATTTCACACTTATTATTATATAGCGCCCAATTTACATAATATCTTTTTAAATTATAGCCTATGTGTTAATCTTATGTGTAAGCTATATTACTGTATAGTTTCATTAAAATCCGTTCAGTAGTTTTTGCGTGAAATAATATTAATAAAATTATTCTAATGACTTGCCCACAGATCCTGATAACCAAGATACATACGTCATGGTAAACGACGATAAGGGACCCCTAGTATTCCTACAGTCCTCCCTACCACAGACCAATAGAAACATGATCCAGAACACTCCCATAGAGCGACAAGAGAAGAAGGTATGATTTCACAAACTATTTATCTGATATATTTATTTATATAACTTCAATACACACAATACAATATATACTTATTGTATACAATATATATTTAATGCCTGATGGCATTCTCTCTCTATACCAGTCTACTGTCACATTGATCAGGGATAGTAAGGCGGTGCAGTTTAATAATTAATATAAAAAATAAGAACAGGTAAATACAGAAAAATAATATATATATATATATATATATATACATATACAAATATATAAACTAACTAATATACCTGTATAAAATATATAATTACATAAATAAACAAAATTTATGGATAACATACAAAATATAAAATTATATAGGATATACTGGAATTACTCTTAAATAAATTCAAAACATTGTTAAATCATATTTACTGAGCAAATCCTATAATGCGCAATTTACACTCAGCCCGAGTGGGCAGGGAAGTGAGCAGCGCGAGAGTGTAAACACGAGTGGAAACACTTCCCATGTCATTGGCGCTGCCACTCACGTTTCCCGGCGCTCCCTCGATTGTCGGTTTTTCGTGCGCGAGTCAAAGGACTGGCAGCACTAGTGGCAGCGTGTTTTTACATTCAGCCCTCTCGCTCAGTTGTCGCCCGGCAATAATTCCGGCAGCGCGAGTGACAGGGGAAGCGGCTGAATGTAAACGTAGCATTACTCACTAAACGATTACTTGAATGACGGCAATAGTTGTTCATGCACGGGATTTTCATTTAATGTTAGTTACACCGATATAAATACTTATGCATTGTAAATAAACTGGCTTTAAAAAAAAAGTAATTCAATTGAGTTTCTTGCCAGTTCTTCTCAATTGAATCTGTATACTGAACTGTAGGTAGGGAAAAAATTATAATATAAAGACTTACGTTCATAAGCAATAGTTTTAATCTTCCCATTACTAACAATCCCCTCTTCCATAAAGTATTGTTGAGAAGTGATCGTGTAATGTTTTTGTTTACAGCCTTTAACCCCTACGGAAATCTTGGAGAAAGCCAAGCGACTCCAGAAGGCCAAGTAAGTTAAGCTTATACATAAAATTCTCGTCACACAATGTTAGTTACCATACTCGTCCATATATAATTTTATATATAATTTTATATAATAATAATATTTTTTATTTTGCATACAATATTTACAATTTAAATTGTTCCCCGGTACCTAAACTAAGTAGAAACTTGTATTTTAGGTGCCAGTTCTCCCCTCTTACAATTCTCAATGGTTAGAATTGGAATATGCATACTAGCTTTTACCCGCGGCTTCGCTCGCATAACTCCATTACTGGCTGCTAGATGGCGCTAAAGTAGCAAAATGTTGATATTTTATTTTTTGTTTTTTATAAAAAATATTTGTTTTATCTTTAAATAAAAAGTATTTTATGTTCATTCTAATACCTCCAAGAACATGTGTACTAAATTTCATGATGATCGGTTCAGTAGTTTTTGCGTGCAAGCGTAACAAACATCCCAACAACAAACGTGACACTGAACATAAGATACTTTTTATTTTAAAAAAATCATACGAGCGAAGCCGCGTGTAAAAGCTAGTAAAAAGTACAAATCTAATAAGGTTGTATTTGTTACAGAGCCTTATTAACCCGCTCTTGTCCTTCCCCGAGCCGGATGCGCGGCCGGAAACGGAAGTCGGACCTACCGCCGCCGCACGAGCTGCTCAACTCGCCTAACTTCAAACTGTTCTTGTATTCCTGCAAGATGTGCACCTTCAAATGCAACGCTATCAAAGAGATGACTGCACACAAGGTTTGTACGTTCGTGACTGAAAATCAACGCACTTAAATCTATACATACATATAAATAAAATTTGAGTGTCTGTTTGTAATATTGAAATAACCGTTTTTTACTACTACTACTAATATAAATACGGTAGATACAACAAAATAACATTTTTTGCAATTTTTGTCTGTCTGTCTGTTTGTGCCGGGTAATCTCTGAAATGGCTCGATCGATTTTCACGGGACTTTTATTGGATGGTAGCTGATGTAATAAGGAGCAACGTTTATTTTAGAAAAATAAAGTTAAATTCGACGCGGACGAAGACGCGGGTACAGCTAGTAAATAATAAATAACCCTGGACAATTAACATTTTTACAAAGCGCCATCTAGTCTCTTTTATTGGAAGCTGTTAAGCGAGTTAGCTAGTAAATAATAAATAACCCTGGACAATTAACACAGCGCCATCTAGTCTCAAGTTAAGCGAGTTAGCTTTTGCCCAGAATACTGTGAGGATGAATCCATAATGCTTTTGTTAATTTATACATAGTTTAAGAGGATCATTTCTGTTTTTTCTTAAGGAAACAGTGTATGCATTTAAATGTAGGTTTGTGTCCTTTTCTGGCAATAAATATATATTATTAAATCAAAATACTAGCTCGTTTGTGTGGTTACTTTTTTTTATCATTAAATTATTTGTCATTTTTTTTTATCTCTGGATAAGTAACACAGTGCCGTCTAGTTTTACGATAAGCAGAGTTCGTGTTATGGGTACTAGACAACTGATATAAATACTTAGATATATTTTTTGAATACATAATATATATAGAAAATATCTATATATATTATGTATTCACTACATACCCATACAAAACCGAGGAATCGAACCCGCGACCATCGGAAGTAACGCGGTGTGCTAAACCGCTAGACCACCGAGGCCGTCTTTTCGTAGTCATTTCAATTACATGTTAAATAAGTATAATACGCTCAGGCGGCGGAGCACACGGGCCACGGGGGCGGAGCCTCCGGCGGCGGCGCGGCGGCGGGCGGGGGCGGGGGCGGCGGGGCCGGGGGCGGCGCGGGGGGCGCCGTGCGGTGGCGCAGCGCCAAGACACACGCCGGCCTGCAGTGCGCGCGGTGCCCCTACAAGGGATCCTCGCACTCACAGGTTACCACAGGCAGTTCACTAAGATCACGACGACCCCATAACGGCAGCTAACGACCCCTACTGGTCCACCCGTTCCGTCTCTACCATACTGTTACACACGACACCGTCCTCGCCGACGAAGACGACGACCTCAACCACACCATACCGGCGCCTATCGCTCTTCCGATCGATACATCTATACTTACAAACTTTCTACCATCAAGTGAGCCGCAAGCTTATTTGTCCCCTGTACTATAAAAAAAAATACTTACAAACATTCTGCCATAAAGTGAGACGCAAGCTCATTTGTCCCCTGTACTATAAAAAAACATACTTACAAACATTCTGCCATAAAGTGAGCCGCAAGCTTATTTGTCCCCTGTACTATAAAAAAAAATACTTACAAACATTCTGCCATAAAGTGAGACGCAAGCTCATTTGTCCCCTGTACTATAAAAAAACATACTTACAAATTTTCTGCCTTCAAGTGAGCCGCAAGCTCATTTGTCCCCTATACTATAAAAAAAACAATTATGCTATAACTTTTTTTTATAACATTAATAAGATTTGATTATGCAATGTTTGACTTTCAGCTTATGAGGCACGTTCAAGAGAAACACCTGATTCAAACATCAGCAGACAGTAAGTACACTGTAAACTAACATCTATTTACAGAGGTTAAAAGCACAAAATCGTATGCGTGTACCTCAGTCTCACCTATTTCAGCCGCCAAGCAGCTTGCTTTGTAAGCTGCTTCGGTTGTGAGCTGCAGATTAAGCAGTAAAATCTATACAAATCAGTAATAATAATAAAAATATCAGGACAATTCACACAGCGCCATCTAGACCCAAGTTAAGTTAGCTAAAGCTTGTGTTATGGGTATTAGATAACTGATAAAAATACATAGATTTTTTTAAAATACATATACATAGAAAACACCCAGACCGATACAAACAATCATACTCATGAATGCAAATGTTTGTACCGTGCTAGGAACCGAACCCGGTAGTAAAGCGGTCTGCTATACCGCTAGACCGTCCGGGCCGTCTAATTGACTTAATATACGATATTTTTGATGTTGTGAGTCGTAAATGTTTCTGTTATTGTGTTCATAGGTACCAAGGATGTGGACACAATGCAAGTCCTCGTGTGCGGCGCGTGCGGGTTCGAATCCAGTTCCAGGATCATATTTAAGAAGCATCTAGAAGATAAGCACGGAGCCATCGCGCGTTAGTCTAGAACCTTCTAGAATATGTTGACATTAAGTGAGAATTATGTTTATGTATACAGACTGCTACAAGAAATGTATATTTATAATATTTAGTTTAATGTAAACGGTAGACAAATCTGGGAGTCAGTAATAGTGTTAATTTATTACGACGGCCTGAGCCGAGGTTCGAACCCCTGGCAGTGCCGTCAGACTAAGTATATACCTACCGATGACCTAATCATCAACTAAACTTAGATTTGGATGACATGAGGGGTAGGGGACCCCTCAACCTCATGTCAAAGACTCCCATAATACCCATAATACAAGCACTGCTTAGTTTAGGACTAGATGGCGCTGTGTGAATTGTCCTAAGATATTATTATAAACTCTTCGTCTACTTGCCGTATCGTTCTGAGCCTTGATCAAAATTACTGGAATAAAAAAAAAATTGTATGAGATTTTTTTGTATTGTAGATATTTTTTCTTTATAAACAGCATGCTGTGATTTTCCATTATTTTTTCCATTCTGCAATAATAGTTGTGAGCCAGCAACAGGTTATTGTGACCAATTTCAATGAGGTTGAAAACTTCCACAATGGTTCTTCTCAATTGAATCTGGTAAACAACTCGAACTGCTTTTTTTACAACTAGCGTATTCACAATGTATATTATATAGATGTCTGTGTCTAACTTTGAATGAAAATCCCGTGATTGATAATTGAAATGAACTTTAAAGTTATAGTGCATAAAGTTTATTATTATCAACAAAAAGATTTTGAAGTTTGTGAGGTAACTGTTCCTCAAACTACCCTCAGAAGACGTTCACTTGTCGTCATAATACAAACCTTAACCAATTCAGAAATTTTGATTGAGAGGTAATGGTAAACGAAATTAGACCTTATACTATATTATAAAAAGAATCACTTTAGTCTACTACTAATCAACATCATTTATTTTGTTAATGATTCGCGAAATTATACCCTATTGTACTATAAATAGAATCACTAGTTAATCAACATTTCTATTGTTATTCATTAGCATGGGAATTGGAATATATTTATATTTGAGTTTAAGTAAGTTAATAAATAGTTCTAAATTATATTTTGTGTACTCATTTGTGTAGCATTTATAACAGGATCCGCTGATACAAAGGCGGATGCGGATTTTGTTTCCCATCTACTGATGCGGACGCGGCTTTAGATTTTATTGACAAAAAGTTATTTATATATATTAAATAGGTGCAGAAATGAAGTGAAAAGAACAGAATGGTTTTTCATATTTTTATACCATACTAGCTACTCGCCCCGGCTTCGCACGGGTACATGTATTATATATATAAACCTTCCTCTTGAATCTCTATCTATTAAAAAAACTCGCTACAAAGTCCGTTGCGAAGTTATAAAGATTTAAGCATACATAGGGACAGACAGCGACTTTGTTTTATACTATGTAATGATGATACGTAATGTTTAATTTACGGTAATGATATACAATAACAAAAGCGTTGAAATTTCTCATCGAACGAAACTTTGCTCCTATATTAGAGCAAGCGCTGATCGCCGGCCCCACGCAATTTCTTTCTTGTAGCAACTTGTCCGACATCCGCATCGATTATTGCAGATGTGAAAGTTTCGTATTTGGGGATGCAGATGCGAATATTCGCGACATCCCTGTCGCAAACAAGGCGACAGTCCACCTGATGGTAAGTGATAACTGTCGGATAACATGAACAGCGTTATGGACATCACGTTAGTATGTGACGCCCATTATCTTTCCTTATGCAGCTAAGGAGCAGAACTCTCTGGCAGCATGTTTCCTGCCTCTTATTAATGGAATGTGTTACGGGGCAGCAAAATAAACACGTAGGAGGGAGGTGTGCGCGTGTACCCACACGCCTCCACAAGAGATGAGATGTTTAAATAGTAGCAGCCTAGAATTTAGTATCCGGGGCTTTATCACAATAAAAAAAAACGAGATGGGGCCTGCCCTACATCTGCAGGGCGGGCCGTAGACGTTGGAGTCTGGGGTGGAATGCACATGCGAAACCTTTCGCTCTGGCATATGCGCTCATAGGTACACCGTGTGGTTTTTAGAGGGTAAAAATCCCACACATCGCTCCACCATCCCAACCGCGGGGTGACGGTCTTTTCAAGAGTTTCCACACGTTGGAAAAAGGTTTCGAATCTTGGATCAGGCTGTCCGGCATAGGCCCTTACATCGGTACATCGTGTGGTTTTTAGAGTGTAAAAATCCCATATACCGCCCCGACATCCCTCCCGCGGTGACGGACTTTTGTAGATTAAAAGAAAAGGGTAATCTTGGATCAGGCAGGGATTGGTCAATTCCGATACCACGTTGACAATGCTTCTGATTACACCATCTAAGATTATACTCGTGTAAATATAAACTCAAATAAAAATCTTACAATTATTTATTCTCAGTCACTCTATAAGATATAATAGCGACGTAGTCATTTACAATACTGCCCTTTTTTGAGGTCGGTTGATCATGACTGCGTCCCCGTATGTTCATATCTCACAAAACATTCAAATGTATACAAAATTATAATTACTTTATTGTAAAATGAACTTTCAAAGGCCAACTTTACAAGTTAAAATTAGGGCCTTATTACATGGTCATATCGCATTTTTTTTTGTATGTAATGCCATTCATAGGAAACAAAATGATGGCCCAATGTATGGTAAATTGGGTTTTTCAGGAAGGGTACGTCAAGGTTTCTTAAGGTTCGGCAACGCGCACGTGACATCCCTGGTGGCCAGGCGTCCATAGGCTACGGTAATAGTTTACCATCAGATGGGCCGTATGCTTGTTTGCCACCATAGTAGTATAAAAAATATGGTAAATAGCAACTATGGCTATTACAGAATTAGATGAACAGAGCAAAAGCAGGTGGAATCAGGAATCTTACTCCCAAAAGACAAAGTGGAAATCTATACATATAAATAAAATTTGAGTGTCTGGTTGTATTATTGAGATAACCGTTTTTTACTACATGCATATAAATATAAATACGGTGCATACACCAAAATAACATTTTTTATAATTTTTGTCTGTCTGTTTGTTCCGGTTAATCTCTGAAATGACTGGACCGATTTTGACGAGACTTTTATTGGTAGGTAGCTGATGTAATAAGGAGTAACTTAGGCTACCTTTATTTTAGAAAAATAAAGTTGAATTCCACGCGGACGAAGTTGCGTGTACAGCTAGTTTAATAACAAAATGTTAACTATTTATACTAAATTCGCTTAAGGGGGTCACTCACAAAACTACGTCCCTTCAATCAATCAATCTATGTCACGTTAACACGCCCCCTCCCCGCCCAGCCCTCTATTAAAGTTGGTCGCACTTGAATAGTTAAAAAGTTTCAATACTACAATAGAAATGTGAGATTTAAAAATAAAAGTCATTTCACTATGACTTGTCTAGTACCCATAATAAGAGCTAATGGGGGGTAACGGGGAAAATTATTCATATTTGAGAGCTTCTGTTGCGTGCGCTGCACGAAGTCACGGGCACAGCTAATATTATATAACCGGGATATTTACCATATTATTTATATATAAATATCGTTATTTTTAAACTTTCGTGTTTAATATACATTATTTATATTATTAACCGGGTCTTAACACGAATAATTTTATGGCAAATAAAGGTATTTACCTCTCTCGACGTTTCGACTAGGTTGCATTAGCCGTGGTCACGAGCTGACTGACCCGGTTTATAATACCTATAAATCATATATAGATATCTCCCGATATTTCGACGCTGTTACATCGAAATATCGGGAGCTTTATACTAATAATTTCACGGTACAAATTCATTTTAAATAACATGTATAATTGTAAACGGTGTAATTTTTAATAGAGTTTAAAATCTAATATACTTATATTACATATTGAATTATGGACATTTTCTCTCTAATTGACCCTTGCCACCTTCGTCGTACTCCTGGGATGATATCCACATCTGCTGGAAGGAGCCTATCGACGCCAATATGGAACCACCTGTAAGCAATCATAATAAATCCTTACCATAAATATGAAAATAGGGCTTTCACGCAAAAATTACTGAACCGATCATCATGAAATTTTGTATGTTCTTGAAGGTATTAGAATGAACATAGGATACTTTAAAAAAATTATTTAATGTATTCATTGCGAGGGAAGCCACCGGTAAAAGTTAGTATAGTATAAAATGAAGTCGCTTCCGTTGTCTGTTCGCTTAGATCTTTTAAACTACACAAAAGATTTTAATGCAATTTTTAACAATAGATAGAATGAGGAGGGTTTATATGTATAATATATGTAAACCCGGGCAAAGCCGGGGCGAGGTAGTAAATAAAGTAGAATTGACTAAAAAAAATATTCAAACTTAATGACGGCCTCGGACTAGTGGTTTAGAACACCGTCTTCCTACCGCTTGTCGAGGGTTTGATTCCTCACACGGTATATAGATTTGTATTCATTAGTATGAGTGTGATTGTATTGGTCTGGGTGTTTTCTATGTATATTTATTTACATGTACATATAAGGTTTAAGGTTAAAGTATAATATTTTACATTTTGACTCTGTAGGAGTAAAAATGTTAGCTGAGAGGATTCGAGTGTCAGCAATGTCCACTGAGTGTAAGAACGTGGAGTGTCAGTGTCAGAAGGGTCAGATACACCTGTATTTGAGTCAGAAATGACATGCGAGTCGTTGTCAGAAGTGTCTGTATAATGTGAGATTCAATGTATATTTTACATTTGACTCTGTCAGAAGTGTCAGGTCAGGTGTAACTGTGTCAGAAATGGCATACGAGTCGTTGTCAGAAGTGTCTGTATAATGTGAGATTCAATGTATATTTTACATTTGACTCTGTCAGAAGTGTCAGGTCAGGTGTAACTGTATCAGAAATGGCATACGAGTCGTTGTCAGAAGTGTCTGTATAATGTGAGATTCAATGTATATTTTACATTTGACTCTGTCAGAAGTGTCAGGTCAGGTGTAACTGTGTCAGAAATGGCATGCGAGTCGTTGTCAGAAGTGTCTGTATAATGTGAGATTCAATGTATATTTTACATTTGACTCTGTCAGAAGTGTCAGGTCAGGTGTAACTGTGTCAGAAATGGCATGCGAGTCGTTGTCAGAAGTGTCTGTACAATGTGAGATTCAATGTATATTTTACATTTGACTCTGTCAGAAGTGTCAGGTCAGGTGTAACTGTGTCAGAAATGGCATGCGAGTCGTTGTCAGAAGTGTCTGTACAATGTGAGATTCAATGTATATTTTACATTTGACTCTGTCAGAAGTGTCAGGTCAGGTGTAACTGTGTCAGAAATGGCATGCGAGTCGTTGTCAGAAGTGTCTGTATAATGTGAGATTCAATGTATATTTTACATTTGACTCTGTCAGAAGTGTCAGGTCAGGTGTAACTGTGTCAGAAATGGCATACGAGTCGTTGTCAGAAGTGTCTGTACAATGTGAGATTCAATGTATATTTTACATTTGACTCTGTCAGAAGTGTCAGGTCAGGTGTAACTGTGTCAGAAATGGCATACGAGTCGTTGTCAGAAGTGTCTGTACAATGTGAGATTCAATGTATATTTTACTTTTGACTCTGTCAGAAGTGTCAGGTCAGGTGTAACTGTGTCAGAAATGGCATGCGAGTCGTTGTCAGAAATGTCAACGACAGCGAGTCATCGGACACTTCTGACTACACCCACTCTGCTGTCATTTGTGACCTCAATTCACGTAACAGACCTAGTACTGTCGACATTCAAAGAAATGTCAATTAAGTCATTATCAGAAGTGTTTTGATAATTATTGAACTGACACTGTAAGTGTTAGCTGAGTGCAAGTGTTTTTTTTTTTATAACACAGGGGACAAACGAGCATGCGGCTCACCTGATGGTAAGTGATTACCGCCGACCATGAGCACCCGCAACACCAGGGGCATTGCAAGTACGTTGTCGGCCTTTTAAAAAGGAATAAGCTCTTTTCTTGAAGGTTTCAATATCGTATCGGTTCGGAAATACCATTGCTGGAAGGTGATTCCACAATGTGGTTGTGCGAGGCAAAAAGTTTCTGGAAAACTGTACTGTGGAAGACCGCCATTTATCCAGATGATTAGGATGGTATTTCAGTTTCTGGCGGGTGGTACGGTGCTGAAACTCAGCAGCTGGTATTAATCCGAACAATTCCTCAGAACACTCCCCGTGATATATGCGGTAGAAAATGCACAGAGATTCTATATCTCGCCGCAAAGCCAATGGGTCGAGTCTGCCACATAGACGTTGATTACCAATGATTCTGGCTGCGCGGTTCTGAATGCAAAATCTGAATCAAATGGAAGTAGCTGGTATTGTGGTGCTCTCGCCCAGAGATGAGAACAGTATTCCATATGCGGCCGGATCTGCGCCTTGTATAATTGCAAGCGATGGGCCGCCTGCCCACATTTGGCTTCACATCAAGGAGAGTGTCTTGAAGCTGAGGAGATACGATAAATGGAATCTTTTTAGCGGTAAACGCGCAAACTTATGTCTTCTTGGGGTTAAATTGAACACAATTTTTCAGACCCCAAACCGAAACTTGATGGAGTGAAGTTTCGATTTCAGACACAAGTTTGTTCCGGTACTCTATAACTTTTGCCTGCGACATATTAGCATGGCCGCTGTACAAGGCATCTCCGGTACTGTCATCCGCATAGCAATTGATGTTGTTGACTTGTTGTTGACGGAGATAGCACACAGTCTTGTGGAACACCAGCATTCACAGAGTGTGGGTCGGAGCAAGCACCATAGACAACGATCTTGATGCTCCGATCAGCGAGAAAGCTGGCGACCCATTTGCATAACTTCGCAGGCAACCCAAAGCATGGCAACTTTGAAAGAAGAACCTTGTGCCAAACCCGATCAAAGGCCTTCGCAATATCCAGACTAACAGATAGGGCCTCCCCCTTACTCTCAATAGCCTCTGCCCATCGATGTGTCAAATACGCTAGAAGATCACCAGCCGACCGACCCTGGCGAAAGCCATACTGACGATCAGAAATCAATTGGTTCACTTCTAGGTATCGTAGGAGTTGACGGTTGACAATCGACTCCATGATCTTTGAGAATAAGGAGGAGATGGCTATGGGCCTATAGTTAGCTGGATCTGAGCGTTCTCCCTTCTTAGAGATCGGACGAACCAAAGCCGTCTTCCAAAGTTTCGGGACTACACCTGTAGAGTAGCAGTACCGGAAAAGACGCGTTAGTACCGGAGCCAACTCAGGTGCACACGTCCTGAGCACAATAGCAGGAATACCGTCAGGCCCACTTGACTTGTGAATATCTAGGGAGAAAAGAGACTTACGTACCAGCTTTTGGGTAAATTTTAGCTCTGGCATAGAAGTCTCACACCGCGAGATGACCGGCGGTGATTGCTCCCTATCGTCCAGTGTCGAGTTGGATGCAAAAAGAGACCCACGGAGATCGGCCTTCTCTTTGGCATGTTGGGCCAACGAGTTATCCTCTCTGCGCAGTGGTGGAAAAGATGGCTGACAGAAATTTACCTGAGCAGCTTTGGCAAGAGACCAAGAAGCCCGGGATCCACCCTGGGTACCACCCTGGGGTAAAAATCTCTTGTAATCCGCTGCCATGGTATGTAAGAAAGGGGTGGGTAGGGGAAGGAAGTAGGAAAGGGATAGGGGGAGGGGGAGGGGCGTCCGGAACCTACAGCTCACCATGCGAAACGCGATATCACTGGTTTTCTGCCGAGGTGTGGTACTTCCCGGTTCGAGCGGCCCAATCGAGCTGAACAACCACGTGTGGTCGTACAGCTTGCTCTACCACTTTAAAAGTGTAGCCGACACCGAGTCACCGGACACTTCTGACTGTTACAGCCACTCTGTTGTCACTTGTAACTTCATAGCTTCTACTGCCGACATCCAAAGTGTTAGAAGTGTTAGGTAGGTCGTTGTCAGAAGTGTCAGTAGAGTGTGAGTGAGATTCAGAGGTGCCACTGACGTTGAGTCGCCGAACACTTCTGACTATTACACCTATACTCTGCTGTTACTTGTGACCTCGTTCACGTAAGAGACCTCGTACTGCCGACATCCAAAGTGTAAGTAGAATCAGTTAAGTATTTGTCAGAAGTGTCAGTTGAGGTAGTGTGAGTGTCGAAAGCGTCAGCTGTCGAAATGTGAGAGGAAACAGTGTCAAGAGAGTCGGTGTCAAAAATATCAAGTGAAGAATTGTGAGTGTCGTAAATAGAGGACCTATGAGTATTGTCAGTGTCAGCTGTTTAAGCTGATTTAAGTGTGTGAGTGTCAATACCTTCAGAAATGACTGTGTCACATAATGTATATTTGCGGGAAATGTCAGGCAAGTTAGTACCTGAAATGTCAGCTGAGTTATGTGTGAGTGTCGGAAACATCAACTTATGAAGTGTGGGTGTTAGCTGTGAGAGAATGAATGTTAACGATCTAAGCAGATTGAAACTGTGTGTTTGTAGAGTCAGATGAGAATGTCAGCTAATGAGGTGAGTGTCAGAAGAGTCATGGTCAAAAGTATTAGTTTATAACCTGCGAGTATTGTAGCGGTCAGGAGCGTAGTTGTGAGCGTCAGAAGTGTCAGGTGAATTTTTGTCCACGGTGTTAGCGTCACAGTGTCGTATGAGTCTATGTAATAAATGTCAACGAGTGCCAGTGTCAATAAGCGAAGTGGGGTGTGAGTGTGAGAATACTGACCGATCCATGCTGCGAATCTTCGTTCCATGGGTGATGGTGCGGCGTGTGATTTGATGCGGTGCGAAGAAGGAGCGCGCGCGGCCAGCTCCCGCGCCAACCGCTCCGGCCAACCGGACGCGCCCGCCCCGCCCCCCGCCGCCACCACCCCGCCCCACAGCGCCGGCCGCGCCTCCGCCTCGCACGCCGCCGCCGCCGCGCACGCTGCGACACGCACTCACTACACACTGCACGCTCCACTACACACTGCACACTACACGCCACCACCCCGCCCCACACTCGCACGCCGCCGCCGCCGCGCACGCTGCGACACGCACTCACTACACACTGCACGCTCCACTACACACTGCACACTACACGCCACCATCCCGCCCCACAGCGCCGGCCGCGCCTCCGCCTCGCACGCCGCCGCCGCCGCGCACGCTGCGACACGCACTCACTACACACTGCACGCTCCACTACACACTGCACACTACACGCCACCACCCCGCCCCACAGCGCCGGCCGCGCCTCCGCCTCGCACGCCGCCGCCGCCGCGCACGCTGCGACACGCACTCACTACACACTGCACGCTCCACTACACACTGCACACTACACGCCACCACCCCGCCCCACAGCGCCGGCCGCGCCTCCGCCTCGCACGCCGCCGCCGCCGCGCACGCTGCGACACGCACTCACTACACACTGCACGCTCCACTACACACTGCACACTACACGCCACACCCCGCCCCACAGCGCCGGCCGCGCCTCCGCCTCGCACGCCGCCGCCGCCGCGCACGCTGCGACACGCACTCACTACACACTGCACGCTCCACTACACACTGCACACTACACGCCACCACCCCGCCCCACAGCGCCGGCCGCGCTCCGCCTCGCACGCCGCCTACGCACTGCGACACGCACTCACTACACACTGCACGCTCCACTACACACTGCACACTACACGCCACCACCCCGCCCCACAGCGCCGGCCGCGCCTCCGCCTCGCACGCCGCCGCCGCCGCGCACGCTGCGACACGCACTCACTACACACTGCACGCTCCACTACCACTACACACTACGCACACTACACGCCACCACCCCGCCCCACAGCGCCGGCCGCGCCTCCGCCTCGCACGCCGCCGCCGCCGCGCACGCTGCGACACGCACTCACTACACACTGCACGCTCCACTACACACTGCACGCTCCACTACACACTGCACACTACACGCCACCACCCCGCCCCACACCATACACACACATACCCATACGACATACAAATTCACTATACACACTCAACGAACCTGAGACTGCATTGAACTCAGACACAGCATACATATACACATCTTACAATACACAAGACACACAAACTTGTACATACCAACTAAAACACACAATGAATTGGACAATATGAATCACAAACTACTAAATTTTTAACTCTCTCAGTTATTTTCCATCAAATGGTAACAACCGTCTATAGACATAAACAAAACCACAGAAATTACATCATCACTTGACGCCTACTATTCCATGGGTTCCTGAGAACTAAAGCGTGAGCCCCCGTACTGAAATATCACTGACATATCTCACCCTTCAATTGAAAGACGTCTTACAAAGCAAGCTTCTTCGGAACTGAAATAAGTAAGACTGAGCCACACATACAGTTCTGTACAATTCCCTTTTCCCTCTGACGAGTTGTGGTATCATCAATTTCGGTGGACCAACATTTAGACACAAACCAGACATGTCCAGACGAAACTAGACAAATCCAGACAAAACTGGCCATATTCAGACAACACTGGCCAGTACAACGTGTCATCGTATCATTGTTAGTAATGGGGTCTAGTGTTCCCATTGCTAGCAATGTACCATCAGAGGTCGACCTCCACGCGGTTTCCCCTCGGAAGCATCGTGGTAAATTGCAATTTGCCAAGATTAACTGATCTGACTTCATGCTCATCTTATAATCCTCCACTGGTGCCCCGCCAGCGTAAACCGTTAGCGCAGGCGTGCGCACCATTCCATTATCAAATACAAAAAAATATGAGAGTGAACCAGGCAAAATTTAACATGTTCGTACAATTAGACAATTGCATATAGAACTCACCTAGGTGTGCTGCGCTCACGTTCTGCTCGAACAGGCACTCTGTTAGTTTGAACCGTTCGGGGCCGAAGTCCTGGTGGTAGCCGCCGGGGAACTCGTAGTGTATGAACGGTACTGATGCTGCTGTTCGTTCGTCGTACGGACTCTCTGATATCTGGTTATATTTTTAAGAAAATACCCTCCTGAATTTAACGCAAAGGACAAATTTCAATAAGCTATTCCGAGTAGCTAGCACAACGAGATAAACTTCTTAGCATTCCAGGGATTCACCGTGCGAGTGCCAGTCCATCAGTCCATCGTGTGGCAGAGAGGGAAACTCCGAGCATTTCTCGGGACTTGAACCGGTGTAGGTTTAAGAGGACTCTTTGCCGACGTACGTGAACACTCACCTTCACCGCTCGTGTTTCTCTCCCTGCCCAGGTAAATCTGGTAGGAGCTTGCTAGCACAGTTTTAGATACACATTCCAGTATAGAACTTACTACACTTCTAGACAGGCCAAGATCTTTTATATGTATGACTGCTACACTAACAACTGTAACACCTCGCTTCCACTTCGGCATATAAATTAACTATACAGCCATTTTTTGTTAATTTTTTCATTATTTTTGTAATAATTGTTTGTTTTTATTGCATAGTCTAGAACTATATTTGGTTCCAATTGTACAATGAGCTAATTAGAATAATATTACACATTTAGTTTATTCGAATATATTATTATGCCAGCCAATTCCTAAGCTTGTCACAGGACCATGTTTGCCATGTCCAGACAAAACTGGCCATGTCTAGACAAACGTGGACATATCCAGACCTGACATATTTACCTGTGCAACACAGTGACAGAAGTCTTCGTACTGCCTCTTCAGCATGTACTGTTGCCACGACTGCGTCAGTCCGGCAGGTAGCGTCTTCAATGTGTACCGGGCGCGTTCTCGTTCTCTTATCACTTCTTTACTCTGTTACAACAACGATTTAAGCACTATTATTTTCTAAAATCGTAAATTTAACGAATGTGTTCTGAGGAATTCTACGACATGAAGCTTACTGCTACTACCATTGTACTGCTCGCCATCGACAAGGAATTCATCCTCAAACGCTGGAACCTAGGTGGTCTGAGCCAGTGCTGTTTCAGAGGAGTTTCCCTCCGTGTGTAGTGGAATGAACTACCTGCCGAGGCTTTCTCTAGCGTCGTACACCTAGTATTATTCTTCTATTTTCTATTTACTTATATACATATAAAATTAAAAATTTCCACGAAATGTTTTACCAGTTTACCTGTATGCTGTATAGTGGGAGCATCTGTATATGCATGGAGTTGAGCATATTCTTAGCTTGAGCGACGAGGTGATCACCACCAATTGGAGATCGAACTGCGGCACTCACCAGCGCGTACCTGACGACAATTATCACCATCGAATTAAAGATGATGATGATAACAATAATTCATCCGCACAGGAAGTCTAAAAAGTGTATATACATATGGGTAACTGTGTGTTCTGTGGGCCCAAGTATACTGCTGTTGGGGTTCTAGCCGTCGCTGCACCAAACACTCTATATACGGTCCCATGTGGGTAAAGCTTCCTCCAGCTTGCAAAAATAGAAAATCATGGTTTCTATTTTTAGCTACACTCATTTAGTTTTCCCCCGCTATTTCCTTCATGTCATCAGACCATCTTTTCTCTGTCTACTTCGCCACTGTCACTCGCCTAGTTAATTGGTGAGTCCACCTTTTGTCTCAGTACAAGCTATGTGATCTGCCTGTTTCTGTCTTAGGTCATGTTGTTTTGCGTCTATTTTTTTTTTAGAGAATACTAACCCATCTATAACTGGCACCGCTGACGTCTGACTGGCCCCGGCATCCACAACGAGAGCTGTCGATTTGCCATTAGCGAACGCGGCTAGAACTGCATTCTTGACGAGAAAAAATGCAGGCGCCTGAAATGAAATGAATTAATGATTTATTTATTAAACATTGTATTTCTAATAGTAAAAAGCTGACGGCCCATATGATGGTAAGTGGTAACCGTCGACTATATACATGAACAGCACTATGGACATCACGTTATCACCCGTGATACTATGAGGCGTTGATTGTAAAGGGATTGTTAGTAATGGGAACTAGGATTACATTGACTAGCATGTATTATGTCAGGTCAACCTCCACGCAGTTTCCCCTAGAAAGCAGTGTGGTTAATTACAAGTGATTTTATCAAGATGGGCTAACTGACCGTATCATCCTCCACTGGTGCTCCGCCAGCGTATTTTTTTTTATTGGGTTGTTACCTATTGTCGGATGTTTTTTTTTATGGATGATAATGGAATGGTGCACCCGCCTGCGCTATCGGTTTACGCTGGTGGGACACCAGTGGAGGATGATAAGATGAACATGAGGTCAGGTCAGTTAGCCCATCGTGACAAATTCACCTGGAATTTATCACGATGGTTTCCAGGGGGAACCGCGTGGAAGTCAACCTGATAAGGTACATTGCTAGCAATAGGGTCAACAGTCCACGTTACTAACAATTCCCTTTCTCCCTATTGTCAGATGTTTGTAGCACCTGTAGCACTGCGACCTACATAGATCTATTGTGCTCGCCCTTTTACAAAGTTCGCAGCCTAAACCTGTCAGGGACAAAAATTGAAGGATATTCTTAGGAGCGATGATTTTTATGTCCTCGGGAGAGAGTGTAAACTTTCCAAAGTAGATATTTCGTTTATGCATGAGTGGGCTACAACCACATAGGATGTGTAGTGACGTTTCCTCTTCAGTTTGGCAGAATCTGCAGATTTTTGTCGTGCATAGGCCTAGTTTAGCCTTATGCTTGTTTAATTTGCAGAGTCCTGTGAGGGCCCTGGTCATCGTGCATATGTTGTTTCGCCAGCGTATACTGTCAGGGCAGGCGAACACCATGTCATTACCATCCACTAGCGGTACCCATGGTATCACTTGCGTGGCCATGTGTTATTCTCATATACAAGCTATATTCTAGAGGCTTCCAAGCAGACAACTTTATTGACAAGGTCTACACATCATCATAGATGATGGAGTTGATTGATTGATGAGTAATATGTAAATTAGAACATCAGCTAACCTGATACTTCTCGAACAGTAGCTCGGCCAATTTCTCCCGAGCTGGTCTCATGGTCCACACAGCCTCTGTGAACAGTGCTGGATGGTGTTCTGACGGGGATCTGATGACCTGGAATGGACAAAATAAATTATTTTCTGGTTTTAAAAAAAATATAATTTATTAAAGTTTTTAATATTGATAAATCCTACTATTGTTATAAACCAACTGTGTGTCAGTTTTAATAATATAATAATAATCTCAGAACAATTCACAGAGCTAGATGGCTCTAGACCCAAGTTAAGCCAGCTAAAGCTTGTGTTATGGGTACTAACTAGTATTGATACAAATACATAGATTTTTTTTCATAAACACACTTATTATACATAGAAAACACCCAGACCAACACAAACTATCATACTTATGAATACAAATGTTTTAGTCATGCACGGGATTGAATAATGAAGTAAGACGGTGTGCTAAACCCCTAGGCATAGAGGTCGTCAAAATAATGACCACACTAAATTAAAAAAATTATAACCCCTATTTTGTTTTATTTAATGTGGGCGTTTTTTAAACAAACGGCTAGCATACAGGCATACGGCTAGAAGTATGTGGCCGTTCAAGTATTACGTAAGCAGATTTATTACAATTATTTAGCCCCCCATCCCCTTTGTCAGAAATTAAAAAATTATAACGTAAACATTTTTCAATTATTTTGTTTTATTTAGGGTTGTCATTCGCGTAAAAAAGTAATTACTACCGATGACGTAATCATCATCTACACTCCCCTACCCCCCATATCATCCAAAATAAGCAAAGCAAAGACTCGCCCGTCCTCCCCATAGTGTTTACGTAATAATTAAACGGCCCCAATAACTAACTAACGGCCCCAATAACTAACTAAAGGCCCCAATAACTAACTAACGGCCCCAATAACTAACTAAAGGCCCCAATAACTAACTAACGGCCCCAATAACTAACTAAAGGCCCCAATAACTAACTAAAGGCCCCAATAACTAACTAACGGCCCCAACTTTAATTACTTGAATATAAAGTAAACAAAATGAAACCTTTGAGTAACAATAGTCCAGCATCTTCTCAAACAGGTCCCAATTGTCGATCTGTCCGTCCTTCATGTAAGTTTGTACTTCCATGCCTGGCCGAGGCACATGGAGCTCTGTGACATCTATGTAGTATCGGAGGTCACCTGTTTTTGTGGCTGAAATTGGAGAAATTTTTAAACTTTGCTATAGAGGGAAGAGGATTGTTAGTAATGTGGAGTGTAGTTTGACCTCCACGCGGTTCCCACTGGAAACCATCATGATAAATTTTTGGTGAATTTTTCACAATGGGCTAACTGACCTGACCTCATGCTCATCCTATCATCCTCCATTGGTGCCCCGCCAGCGTAAACCATTAGCGCAGGCGGGTGCACCATTATCATACATAAAAAAAAACCTTGCTATATTCTTGAAATTACAGGATATTGTAATTGGACCAAAATACAATACAGAATAAGAAGCATGGGATTCTAGTCAAAAAAGCACAAAAAACCCATAGACAATATAACATATAGTTATTTTTAAACTTTAGTGTTTATGGAAAACAAGCTGTACCGGCAAATGTTTTGCCTTAAAATAAAAAATATTTAGGGGTTGATTACCCCTAACATTTAGGGGGATGAAAAATAGATGTTGGCCGATTCTCAGACCTACTCAATACGCTCACAAAATTTCATGAGAATCGGTCAAGCCGTTTTGGAGGAGTATGGTAACGAAAACTGTGACACGAGAATTTTATATATATAAGATGAAGGTATTTTTACTTCTCTAGACATTTCGACTAGGTTGCACTAGCCATGGTCACGAGCTGACTGAGCAGTCATATTTGCCATAAAATTATTTGTGTTAAGACCCGGTTAATAATATAAATAAAATATAATGCATACTGTATGCTGTTGAAGTCTACCTGTGAGTAACTTCTTACACTTAGTAGTTAGTAGTTTGTATTTACACGTTTTGACTTGTAAACTTACAAGGATTATTTAAAAGAGCAACACACAAGTTTCTTGCTCATTCTTCTTGTGATGAGACAGCTTTCCGAACGAGTGGTAGATAAAAAACAAATTGTTGTGTGTAGTGGTAGATGAAGAATAAAAAATAAATTATTTTCTATTCTATTCTATTCTACTTACTTTAGTTGCCATTAATTTACCTGTGGTTATAGTCACTCATGCATAAATAAAATATCTTTGGAAAGTACAGACTATACTGAGGAGATAAAATCATCACTCTTAAGAATATCCTTCATTTATTATCTCTGACGGAAGTATGCAGCAACATTCTAAAGCAGGGCGAGCACAATAGATTTCTACAGGTCCCAGTGCAAAACAACTAGTAGCCAAAAAAAAACTTATTTCATAAGCTGTGTTCCGGTTTGAAGGGTGTTAAATGACAGGGAAATAACAAGGTACGGCGGCATGATGCCTTTGTTCTATGCAACGGCAATGCAAGAGGTGTTTTTTTTTATAGAATAATACGAAATGGGTCCTGCGCCTGATTGTCATTCTAGATATATAAAAGAAACTTGAAACTCACCACTCTGAGTGATATTTCCATCGGGCACCTTCTCCTCTGCGTCTGGTATGTGCGTGGCTGGACCTACACCAACAACCGCGGGAATATCGGCTTTTGGAGTGTCCTCCTGAGCATAACCGACTCTTAGCGAGTGATGTCCAGGATCGAAGACCAATGCACCTATCTCGTCGCCCCCGTACAACATACCGTTCGGACCACTCATTATTGTATATTTGTGTCAAATTATAATGTTATTTAATCGTAAACTACAATAAATAAAAGGAGAAGCGGTATTTTGGTAATAAAGCTTGACAGCACAGAGTATATTTGCCAATGTTACCAGATTACTATGTTCCTTTCTCCTGAAATTTTGTATAAAATACCCTTAAAATTCAGAAAAATCCAAGGAATAAATAAAGTTTGTATTAGTAATGACAATATTCCAAAAGAAATATATTGCTTTTGATTTTCTATTTACGTACAACTTATGAGAATTTTTAAAGTGAGAAGTGTATATTTGTGTCATTAATCTCTATCTGTCGCTTTTAGTCCTCTATTGACGATCCTTCCTCCTTATTTAATTTTTAATTCAACTATAAATTCCCAAACATTAATGCCCTCAAATTTCCCCTTTCGCCATAAAATCGCCCAAATCAATGTAATCTACTAATATGGCATCATTGTTAGTACAGAGTACATTATTAGTAATAGAAATTTCATAGTGACAACTGACAGTGAAATAACAAATAATCAGTGTTGCCTGGCTAAAGAAACTGAATATTATATTTTATACATTATATTTTACGGCTCTGCATACATGTCCTTTTGAGCCCCTCAATGTATATACCTAATTATATGCATTGGGGGAATCTATTCAAGAAAGAAGAACAATTTAGACTATTTTTATTGGAATGTATGATATAGAAAAGAGGAAATAAAGATGCCATATTTGTCAGCCTTAGAATCAATCGTTTTCCATTATACAGGCGTATATACGCCTAGCCTTTAACTTTAAAAACGCACAACACTACGATGATTTTCACTGGATAATGTACTAATAAGATGATTGCACGAAGATCGCGCCTAATGGATCCGTTTATGTTGATTCGCGGAGAAAATGTGGATCTGCGAGTGCTCGACGCGATGTACAACAAACGACTCTCTTTTTGTTATTGCTATCCCCAGATTTGATGGATAAAAATGGAGTAGGATGTAGGATTGTAACATATTGTAGCTTTGAAAAAATCAAAATAAATAAAACCATTATTACAGCACAATAATTTATTACAACACAAATAATTTATGCGAACAATATTCCAATCAGGGATGCCAACCGTACAACAATTTTAACCTTTGGTATTATATTTATAACTTCGTACAGGTTTGTACGGGATTTTAACAGTCAAAATATTAGGTTACATTGCCAAATTGAGCTAATTTACGTAATTTTATTACAGTACTGTTTTTTTAAATGACGTTAAATGTTTTACAATTGGCAACACTGACTTCAACTAACACCGATATACACAATATAGTACTATACATATCACTGTATACATAAATAGTAAGGAAACAGTTTACGCGAAGAAAATAACATCTACTCTCATGTAGTGATGGATGTAATATTTAAAAATATCTATTTCTAATCGATACGAAAAGAAAATCGATTTTTATTGAATAATAATATTTAATTTAATCGCAATCGATTATTTTTCGCTATTATTGGGCTCTTAAAATGTGGGTGTTTTTGTCTTTTTTTTTATGTTATTTTGTCATTATATATCTTATCTGTAGTCACTAAGGAATATATTGGAAGATATCTGCAATTTACACTCATAAATATTGATTAAAAATAATTAAGTATTAATTCAAATGATGACAAAACTTTATAATATAATACATATATCTAATATCTTTAAAAACTGACAATATCAAGCAGTTTGAATCCAATACATTTGATATTGTAATATCTTCTTGATGTATACGTTGTTCAATCAATTACTTGGTTAATATAAACAGTATTTATGCAAGTATTACATTTTTCAAAATATAATATTATTTTTGTAACATGTAACATTACAGTAATAGGTAACAAGCCACAATAAATTTTCTATTTCGCTAAATATATCCTGTAACGAAAACTATTATGAATTCCTATATATAATAAGTTTATTATAATTGAATGTAGTGTACTTTGATATTTTCTAATAAAATGTAAAATATTCCAAAGGAATGGCTATGTAGGTATTACATAACTGTGTACATATATTAAATGCATCCAAAATGTATTTTTGAAAAGATGGTTATCACATATTCATCATCATTATATCTAATAGTTGATGAAACAATAACAAAATATGTAGCGTAGATATTACATAACTGAGTACATATATTAAATGCATCCAAAATGTATTTTTGAAAAGGTGATTACCATATAGTCGTCATCATATCTTATAGTTGATGAAACAATAACAAAACATGTAGGTAGCGTAGATATTACATAACTGAGTACATATATTAAATGCATCCAAAATGTATTTTTGAAAAGGTGATTATGACATAGTCATCATCATCATCATATATAGTGGATGAAACAATAACAAAAGAACAGATATAGGAACAATAATAAAGGCTCATTTACAAGAACATTTCTTCGAATAGATACATAGTACAAAATACAGTATGAAAGTACTATACCTAATAAGGTATAATTATACCACTAAATTTTTATATCTAGGTTCTTACCTCAATAACTTTTCATTCTTGTCTCAATCAGTTTTATGTTTAAATCTCTCGCTTTAAGGTCGTTTTTTTAAAATAAATAATTTCTTTGTCAGAATTAGTTTCTTGTTTCTGTGTTCGTTACATATTTGTAGGTTTAAAGGAACTGTAGGTCTACTTTGGAATTCAATCTCAATATCGATTTCAAACCAATATCCATTTGTAACTCACGACGCAAAAATACTTGTAATTTTTAACGTGTCTGTAAGTTGTAATCAGTCGTAGCTCCTAAACGAATAGTCCGATTACGATGCTGTTTTTTAAAACTGACGTTATCGAGACGGTTCTTAGATTCAGAGTAGTTTTTTCGGGGCTTAAAATTGAAAATTTATTACACTGTTCTTTTGAAATATAATCAAGACTAAATCAAATAAATTTGTAACAATGTCAGTAAGTTCTTTCATTAACCGCGTAATATATAAAATGTTGCCAGTGTAATAGTCCCTGAGCTAGAGTCTAATTTCGTTAAACAATTCCTCTCGGCCGAAAAGGCCATGTAGTGAGCAATAGACAACATTAATTTTACTCAGTAAGAACTAAAACTAACTTTAAAGTTATTATCGCATAAGATCTATTTTAAGCGTAAACCGTCAGCGCAGGCGGGAGCACTGTTACATTATCATGCATAAGAAAAAACTGCGAAACAACGCAATCCAGTGTCATTGGATTGGAATTAATTTCCAGAGTAGATCAACAGATACTCATATTTGGACGTCATAAGTTTTAATTTCAAAGTGTACATTGCAACTCTTTTCCGTGTCTTATACCAATTGAAATGACATTCAATAGGCAGATATTTATATTAATAATAGAGAGAATTATTTCAATACAAAATTTCATCTGAAAATATTCTCAAGGCAATATACAAGTCTAGGAGAAAAATTGAATCAAATTTTAATGATACAATTTTTGCTTCTTTTTAACATTTCTTTTTTATTTTATATATATGTATATTTTGAGTTTAGTATGAATATGGATTCAAAGGGAGAAGACGACCGAAAACAAGATGGATGGATTGTGTAGTAGATGATTTAGATAAAAGGACAGTAAGCTCAGATATGCCGGCTGATAGGGATCAGTGGAATAAGATAAAGGAACGAAAGTAAGGCGATGACTATAGATTTCCCTAATCATAATTGTCTAAAATTATAGTTGCATGAATAAATGTATCTTGGTTTATATTTTTTTTGAGAATATATTCAGACAAAATTTTGAAAACATCTCAAATAAACTCTCTCTTTTCTTTCTAATATTGAATCCACCTATTGAATACCAATTAACGCAAACAGTGTGTACTCAATTTAGTACATAGTAGAGCTACACTTATTCATCTAGTACATAGAAAAGTGTAATTTCACATCAGTCTTACACGGAATCATATCAGAGGCCATTTCTCAATTTAAAGTCAAAAGTGATATAAATTCCACAATCTTAATTGATCTCGCATTGTACTAGGAAAATTAGATTAATTTGACCCAATAAACCAATAATAGGTATTATTCAATACTTTAAAACAAATAAAAATAAAAAAAAATTATATGTAATATTTTACGAATGTCAATTATTTGATATGTATATCAAATAATTGCAATTTGTAAGTCACATTTATTTCATTATAAGAAAGTTATCAAATAATCTTTAATTGATAATATACTATAATTTATTAATATTTAACGTTTACAAACGTTTAAATATAAAGTTTTCAGTTTGGTCCTTCGAGCCGGATTATTCAAACTTAATCAAGATTAAGAGTCTATAACAAAAAGCACTTTAAAAACAATTTAGCAATTAAATTCTGAGAATATTTAATTTAAAAGCTTCTTAGACTAACGTCTTTGTTATAAGACAACGTCTTTGTTATAAGACAAGATGCAAAATTATAAGTAGAAATCACTTGAGGTCATACTCGAGTTAATTCCATATGCCATATATTTCAAAATCATAATGTCAAGAATCCTAATTTTCCAAGTACAATGATTTACATAAATCTAAATTTTCTAAACACCCATAACATTTACATTATCACTACTTACATTCATATTAATAATAAACAATAGATTACGTCTCTAAATGTTTGACACTCAAAATGAGCGGTACACGATTTAAAATAACATTGTTTAATTTCAATAATATTATGTAATAATTATGAGAATTAAATTTAATGATTTGATAGATTATTAAATTAAAGGGTATATTTAATAACATTTGTAAATAAATGTATTTCTGTTTATATTACAAAAATAATTAAAATCAAGCATGTTGAAAATCTATAATTAAAGTACTTACCAAAGTTGAAATATATAGTAACATATAACATTTTGGTAGTCAACATTTCCAAATTATATCATTCATCATCTGCTTCTTCCTTATCCCATTCATTTGTTGTCGGCGTAATGTTTTTCTCTTCCATTCATTCCTGTTCGCAGTCATTTCGTTATTCACTCTTTCTTACCATATCATATTTCACACAGTCCATCCATCTCTTTTTCCGTCTTCCTCAGCCCTTATAACCATCCACATTCATACATAAAACACTCTTCATTCCTGCGCATTACATGCCCATACCATGACAGACGATTCCTTACATTATTGTGATTATAGAATTTAAATTTCAATACACTTTAAAATAACATATTTAAATAAATCGTGTATCACCCATAACAGGATGTAAGAAATGTTAAACGACCAAACATTAAATTACCCATTTTAATGGCTATCAGAAAAAATGGTAACAACATTCATCAACGAAATTAATAATGCATCTATTTTATAAATGACAAATATAATTAATAAGAAATATTATAGTTTCTTAAAATATCTACATGCTATGGATGAATAATAATTTAAGTATACTATAAATAGACAGATACGTAATATAAATACTAACTAGTAGGTACGTATACATGGTGCTACCAAATTATCTACATTCTGTTTTAAAGGGGGACAGCTTTCTAGTACAAATAAAACAAGTTCTGCAAAGCCTGGGACTAGATGGCGCTTTGGGAATTGTCCTGGATTAATATACTATATATATTGGAGGGAAGGGGATTGTTAGTAATGCGGACTAATAACCCCATTGCGTGGTTCCCCTTGGAAACCATCGTGTTAAAATCATGGCGAATTTACCATGTACTAACTGACCTGACCTCATGCTCATCTTATCATTCTCCACTGGTACTCCGCCAGCGTAAAGCGCAGGCGGGTGTACCATTCCATTATCATCCATAAGAAAAAAACCTATAGCTATTATCTTATATTCCCAGTAGAATGGAATACAGATCTTTTGGCAGCACCACATATAGAGAATTAACTAATAATAAGAGCATAACTGAGGTACATATATTCACATTGGAAAGACTTAGTTTTTCACTGCTTTGCAGCTGATATCTGTAGTTTTAGTAAAATGGAGTGTCCCACTCTGAGACAGCAGATGGGACACGCTACACGGCTTCATAGGTCTGTACACCTAGCGGTTTAGTACACCTCTTTACTTCCTATGGTCGCTGGTTCGATTCCTCGTACGGTATAAACATTTGCGTTCTTGAATATGATTGTTTGTATCGGTCTGGGTGTTTTCTATGTATATTATGTGTTTACAAAAACAATATCTAAGTGTTTATATCAGTTGTCTAGTACCCATAACACAAGCTCTGCTTAGTAATGGACTCGGTAGCGCTTTAAAATTTCCAGGGGTATTATAGAGAGGTTGTTTCACATATCTTTATCAAAATGGTCTAGGTTTCTGAAGCAATTCAGGTAATGAAATTGCAACTGTATAATAGTACACAATTAAATTAGAATTGTTAGTAACAACCTTCCATAATTAAGATTGAGATTATTTCAATTGTTTTGCCTGTGCCTCTTACTGCTGATGTATCAATATTGATGAAATTTTATAAAAAGTATTATTACAATAAGTGTATGATATCAATTACCAAATCTTATATCTAATTAAACATGTAGTACAAAATGATTTTTTTATTGGAATGGCAAACAAGTTGACACTCCATCTGATGGTAAGTGATTACTGTGACCTGTTTAAACATGAACAGCATTACGGGCATCACGTTATCACATGATACCCGTGATACCAATCCTGCGTTACCATTCCAGAATCGTTCCGCTCATCCTGTAATTTCACTGCCCAATCTGCACCCTATAACCAAAACATCTTACAAAGCAAGCTGCTTGGAGGCTGAAATAGGTGAGACTGAGGTACATACACATGCACGACTTCGAACAAATTTTGCCTCGGTAATTTTTTTTAATGATAATAGGTATCAAAATACAAAACTTCAATATCACCCCATTATTCTTAAACGTCTTAAGTATATTCTCAAATCTCGTCCAGCGAGATACCCACAAGTATTCACTAGAAACCTATATGTATATGACTACATGAGCGTAACTACAGGGCAGAAGAGGGTAGCTGCTCCTCCTGAAAGGGTCAAAGAATCTTACTTGCTTCACCTGAGTCGGAAGCAAACTTGACTTGGAACTCTTAGACCGAAAGAAGAAGATAAATAAGCAAACTTTAATTGCCTTCCCACTGGCCCAGAAGCTAACTTGATTTAACCTCCTTGGGTCAGAAATCAAGCTAATTTGATCTGCCAACACCCTAAGTCGGAAGCAAACTTGCCTTGTACCCCCTGGGCCCGAAGAAAAACAAACAAACTTTAGTTGCCCTCCTATTGCCCCAGAAGCTAACTTGATTTGTCCCCCTTGGGTTAGAAGCAATCTTACCTTGAACCACCCGGACCGGAATAAAACAAGTTTTAAACTTTAATTGCCCTCCTCCTGGCTCAGAAGCTAACTTGACTTGTCCCCCCTCGGTCAGAAGCAAACTTGCCTAGCACCCACTATTCCGGAAGTTTGCTTGATTTATTCTTAAAAATTGCTCTTCCCCTAGGCTAGAAATTAGGTACGCCCATTTTAGAAATATTAAAGTAAGTTTTTATCGAAGAATCAATAGCGCTCTTAGTCTTCTAAAGTAATATTATTATTAAGAAAAGATTGAATTTCTCGTCTGTAATTTACTAAATAAAACTAGACCAATAAGGACCTCGGTGGTTTAGCGGTTTACTACACTGCCTTACTTGCGATGGTTGCTAGTACGATTCCTCGTACGGTACAAAAAATTATATCCATGAGTGATTCTTTGTATTAGTGGTGTTTTCTATGTGTTTATTCCAAAAATTGATTTTAATTATTAACTATCAGTTGTCTAGTGCTTAGCTGCTTAGCTTGGGAGTAGACGGCACTTTATGAATTGTCCTGAGATATTATTATTATTATTTATAAAATCTCTTTTACCTATAGAAAGGTACATCAGCGAGTAATATAATCTGCATTTTACTTTAGAAAAGATCTTACAAAATTTGCGTCCTATCGGAGCCGGATACATCACCAGTTACATATCGTTTGTTAAACTACATGCAATATCTTTTTTAACATCATTGTGGTACAGGACTGTACCACAATGATGTTGACAATGACGATGGATTAACAGACATTCTCAACCTAACTACTACTGGTGACCTGCCAGCATTATATCCTTAAAAATACAAGTATTTAATATTAATTAGGTATAAAGATTTCTTTCATGACTCATAGCTATTTTCCTTCAAACTTTACATCTTCACCGAACGATAGGGTGCGAGTACAGATGGCACTCCAAACCCATGGAAGGGCTTATGGAGCGGCTGAAGGCCAACTCCCGCCTGACCGATATGACTCTCCGTTAGAAGTAATAGAGACACATGCAGAAAATCTGCATAAGTAAATATTTTAAAATGTCTGGTACATTTTCTGTACCTATTAAGATTGTACAAATTATACAAGATTGTAAAGGCCATACAAAGTCGAAAGCTATTGATAGTATTCAAGGAATTGACTGAAAAACTTTCCCAAAGATGCAATTTGGAAAAATTTACACAAACGTTTCAAATACTCAAAACTTTATATAAATAATTTATTGTGAAAATATCCCATTTTGTTTATTGGTGCAAATGATTCAGTTACAGAGAGACAGAATATAGAGAAATACTTAATTTTAAACACTTTTGAATCGTCTCAAATTTTTAATGATAGCAAAATCCTTTGCTTCTAGTACAGAGCTCTCTGACGCAGATGTACATGGAGACCTGACCCCAGATAAACTGGGACAGAGTTAGACAGAGAGACAGGGAGAAATCATTTGCATCTTCACCACACGTACAACAAAAGCATAAAGTAAAATCAATCCTTCTCATTAGGAAATTAGTTTCAACACAAGAAGAACAAGCAAGAAACTTCTGTTGCCCTGTTAAAGAGATATACAACTTTACATTTCAATTCAAAATATCAATACAAGTGCTTTCGACTTATTTATGACTAACTCTGTTCCATCAATATTCAATACAACACAAAAAAATCATCAATCCGAATCGTTTCAGATCATTAAAACCTGAGAGAGCATACCTTCCTGATACAATTTGCTTCACCTCACTGCACTTGACATCCGACACTGATGGCGTTGAACAGTGGAGCTGCTCCGATCCCCCCGTCGCCGTCAGTGACCCCTGCGAGGTACTTCGCCCTCGTACAGTCCCCGCAGGTGCAGCTGTCAGTCAGAGTGCACAGACCCCTGGCTGTCGCTATGGCTTCCCATTTGATCTTCTCGTCCAGAGTTCCACTTCGGTTTAAGAGGTTCTGTAATAAACAGTCAAAATTGAAATAGCTATTCATGTAGATAAATTACAGACACTTTGTTATGTAATTGATAAACCCCATTACACAGCCTATATGGCCTACTCATAAATGAACGAAGTATCTCATTTGGAAAGTAGTGTCTAATTCTGGGAAGTCGAAAGAAATTCTATCAATTGCTTTCGACTTCCGAGAAAATATTCAAGGAACTGACTGAAAAACTTTCCCAAAAATGCTAATTGGAGAAATTTTATTTTCTGAAAAAGACACATTCTGAGGAGATAAAACTCATAGCTCCTAAGACTATCCTTTAATTCTTGTCGCTGGCGGGTCTAGGTCTAGCTGGCTCTTAAAAAAGAGCGGGCACAATAGATCTCTGCAGGTTGTAGTGACCAAAGCACAAAGTACTAGCCCAAACACCTTAATAAAGAGAAATACTAGGCAATTAAGCTGACGATCTCCTGATGGTAATACATGTACTTGGACACCACGTTATCACGTGACACCCGTGATACCATTCATGATGTTGCTATTCCGGATGACTAAGATGCAATGCCTCTTATACTGTAATTTCTCTGCCTAATCTGACCTTAGAACCCAAACACATCTTGCAAAGCCAGCTGTTTGGTGACCACAGGTGAGATAGTGACTTTTTATATTTTAAGTATTTCTATCAGTTATCTAGTACTCACGAAGTTCTGTTTGGCTTGGAAATAGATGGCACTGTGTGGATTGGTCAGGGTTATTATTATTATTACATTTACTTAAAATTGGGACGACAACTCAGTGAAGAAACTCCGGCAATAGCACTCGTAGGTACACCGTGTGGGCTTTTCATCATTATTTCAGCCCAGAAGACATCCACTGCTGAAAAAAGGTCTCCTCCAAAAATCTCCACGACGATCGGTCCAGCGCAGCTCTCATCCAACGCTTTCCAGCGATCTTGACTAGATCTTCGGTCCATCTTGCTGGAGGCCTTCCCAAACTGTTTCTTCCGGTTCGCCACTCAAGGACTTTACTGTTGTGGGTTTTTAGTGGGTAAGAATCCCACACATTCCTTAGTCACCCGTCTGGGTTGTTTCGTTCTGGTTTGTCGACGGTCTTTTGAAGATTTTTCCACACGAAAGAAAAGGTTATTAATTACTCACCCTCATAACTTCAACGTCGCTGGCTTTCCACATATCAACGTCCCTCATCTGCTGTTCCTCCTTCGACCTACTCTTCTTTGGTTTCTTCAGAGCTCCACAATAAACGGATATATCTTCGCTGGGAGCTATAGATGTCTCGTCAAATTGCAAAGAGTTCACGTCACAGGATGTGGAAGCTCCGTCAAGACTGTCCAGGTCGTAATTATGGATATCGTCGAGGTCTTCTTGTTGGAGCGTAGTTATCGAGGTAGAGTCCGTTGGGTTCTTTAGAGGTAGGTAGTTGAACTGGGATATAAAGACACATGGATAATTTATTTGCTTGAATATTTACAATGTAGATCTTCCAAGTGTTTAGGTACAAATGTTCGCCTTACATTACATACATTAAGAAGAATTGTAATTTTGCATATTCAAGCAAATAAATTATCCATGTGTGAAATCAATTCTCGCAAAGGGTAACAGCATTTTTTTACGAGTATTCTTATACTCGTAAAAATTGATTTCACATTTAATCATTTAATCTCTTTATTAATTTTAAATTCATTAAGAAGAATTGTTATTTTGCATCAGGAGGCATGCAAAATTACAATTCTTCTTAATGTATGTAATGATATAAACAACTCCCTCTTCCAAGAAGTTGGGCCATAGCAAAAACTAGCTTCAAACGAGACTAGAACCGAAGTCGAGGGCTCAAAAAATTTGCTACGGATCCCGCGTTGGTTTATTCCAGAACTGTTGTTAGTACATACATTTAGAAACGCTTGCTACATAATTCTTAATATACAAAATTATATATTTTTATTCTCATAGTGTTAAGCTAACAAAACAAAACTCCTCTTATGAAATTTAGTTGATCTAAGAATCTGAGAATTGGACGAAAACTATTTTCCATTCCTTTGACAGCTTTGGTGGTCTAGCGGTTTAGCACAACACTTTACTTCCGATGGTCGCGGGTTCGATTACTCGCATGGTGCAAACATTTAGTTAGCTTAACTTGTGTCTAGACGGCGCTGTGTGAATTGTCCTGAGATTATTATTATTATTATTATATTATTTAATAGTGAGGCGGAAGAGAGTTCGCAGGCTCTGCTAGTTATAATATAATTACTATTTGTCAATTCATCAATCAAATGAAATCCTAATAAACCAAAGAAAATATATTATGATATATGTAAAGAAAATATAATATGGTATATGTAAAGAAAATAATACAATATATAGGCCATACCTGACCGTCTTCGGATTGGCTGCGCTCACTAAATCTGGTCGGCGTTGGTTTCTCGGAAATGACCTGCAAACAACACGAGGGGAGGCCTCGTTAATATTGCGAGACTAGTAGGGTTGTCAACATCGGTGTTACACATCCATTAGTAACTTTAGATGATGACTACAGGAAATTACAATTTGATGTATTTACTTCTGTGTCGAAAGAAATCGGTAGCTAAACTATTCTAATGCTGTTAGCCGCTGCTGGCATTTACAGCTTCACCGGATGATAGAGAGCGAGTGCAGATAGCACTCCAAGCCAAAGGATGAAATTATATAGCTAACAATATACAAATACTATATCTGCTTGATCTCTACAAGAAAACCACTGTGTTAAATTCATAGTAAGTTTGTCACAATAATCTAATTGACCTAACCTCATACTCTGGTGCCTAGGCAGCGTATACCATCAGCGCAAGTGAGTGCACCATTCCATTATCATCCATTAAAAATTTCTGGTAAATTCGCCACGATGGGTTGGTTGGAGTGTTGACCTGACTTCATGCTCATCTTATCATCCTTAACTAGTGTACTATTTTAATTAATCTACGGAAAAAATATTTCTGACTGCTCCATATGGTAACAATACTGAAGATAAATCATTATTGTTTCTTTCCATTTTTTGTCGGCAACCCTATCTAGGATATTCGATCCTATATTGGCGTAACATATGTTAGTTTGTAAACACACGCTATATTTGTTTCAGGGAATAAGTGGTTGGAGTTTTCGTTCGTTAAATACAATTATAATATCGTATATATGTACCTATTGTTAAATACCGTGGCAGACTGCCGTCGTCAGTGCCGTAACCATAGAGACAATTTTATTTTACATATTTTATTATTATTTCTTATGTATGTTAGTCTATAAGGTATTTATAATATGGGCCATGTAGCCTGAATTAAATAAATAAATAAATACAATTACACCACATTTCAATACGGTAGAGTTATCATATTGTACACATCCTATGTGGTTGTAGCTCACTCATGTATAAAAAAATATGTCATTTGGAAAGTATACACTTTATCCTGAGAGATTTCTTCCAATTCTTGTCCCTGACGGGTCTAGGTAGAGGACTTTGAAAAGGAGCGAGCACAATAGATTTATACATGTCGCAGTGCTACAGAGCTGCTATAGAGCTTTTTGCCACGCACAACCACGTTGTGGAATCACCTTCCAGCAATGGTATATCCGAATTGAATATAATATAATATTGAAAGCAAGAAAAGATTTTATGCCTTCTTAAAAGGATTTCTAAACCGATACGATATTAAAACCTTCAAGAAAATAATTTATAGCTTCTTAAAAGATCGACAACGTACTTGCAATTCCCTGGCGTTGTGGGTACTCATGGGAGGTAATCACTTACTCATTTGTGGGGACAAACGCCATACAGTAAAAAAGGTATAATATGTCATGCCTCTTATCCTGTAATTTCACTGCTCTACTATTTTCTACAACTGAAACACAATTTACAAACCAAGCTGTTTAGCGATAGAAATAGATGAGACGAGACACAAGCTGCTGATTTTGTACGAAATCTATCTTTGGTCAGTATGACCACAGATAATATTACAGTCTGACTTACCTCGTCATCATCCTCGCTGTCCAGATGCAGGTCTGATATGTCTGCAGGTATCAAGTCCTCAACTATACCCTTACTTGTTGAAGGAATAGGAGAACTAGGTGATGCAACTGTTGGAAAAGTATCATTTTAGTTAAAAAGTGTCATTAGGTCCTATGGGAATGGGTATAAAACTTTACACTAAGGTACATAAGGTATATAAGTGGAATCAGCTTGTTTGCCATTCGATTACATAAAAATGAGAAACACAATTTATTTTATACAGGCGGTCCTTGTACTTAGGGCATGATTTTTTTATGGATGATAATGGAATGGTGCACCCGCCTGCGCTAACGGTTTACGCTGGCGGGACACCAGTGGAGGATGATAAGATGAGCATGAGGTCAGGTCAGTTAGCCCATCTTAACAAATTCACCATGAATTTATCACGATGGTTTCAGGGGAACCGCCTGGAGGTCAACCTGACATGGTACATAGCTAGCAATAAGATCATCAGTCCACATTACTAACAATCCCCTTTACGGCATGTTAGGTTCTCGAAATACGCGACATAAATCGAAACGACGTAAGTCGAGACATATTTTTTCATATGTTTACATGTAAAGCTCAAGGGTTAGGATCCACACGGATTCAAAATTAAAAAAAAATACTGCATTTATAACAAAGGATATACATACTTTATTATCAAAAGTTGGACTACGTAAAACGAGACAACATAAGTCAAGGACTACCTGTACTACGATGGTGGCAAACAAGCATACGACCCATCTGATGGTAAATGGTTACAGTAGCCTATGGACGCCTCAGACACCAGGGGTATCACGTCCGAGTTACCGACCCTTAAAACACCTTAATATACCCTTGAAAAACCCATGCTGTAGTTTCGTGAGAAAACCTCGGCAGGAAGTTCATTCCACAATCTAAGTGTACGCGGGAGGAAGTTCCTCTGAAACCGCACTATCCGTGACCACTTAGGTTCTAGCGTGTGGAGATGAATTCCCTGTCTATGGCGAGCGATGGTAAAAGGTAGGTGTGGGCATCATGTCGAACAATTCCTCAGAACACAGTATGTTGTATATTCGGTAGAACACACAAAGAGATGTGAAGTCTCGCCTCAAGCTAAGCGGTTCGATATCTACACGCGGGACAGATTGGGATCATCGACAAAGGTGCTCCTGCCTAAAGATGGTCGCGGGTTCGATTGCTATCATGGCATAAACATTTGTATCCATGTAATATGTATGTATTTACGAAAAAAAATATATCTATACATTAGTATCAGTTATGTAGTACCCAATACACAAGCTTTAGCTAGCTTTACTTGGGACTAGATGACGCTGTGTGAATTGTCCTGTGATTTATACATCTATACATGTAAATAAAATTGGAGTGTCTGTTTCTAATATTGAAATAACCGTTTTTTACTACATGCATATGAATATAAATACGATACATACTTAAACCAAAATATCATTTTTACGATTTTTGTCTGTCTGTCTGTTTGTTCCGGCAAATCTCTGAAATGGCTGGACCAATTTTGACGGGACTTTTATTGGCAGGTAGCTGATGTAATAAAGAGTAACTTAGGCTACTTTTATTTCAGAAAAATAAAGTTAAAATCCACGCGGACGAAGTCGCGGGTACAGCTAGCTTATTAATATGGGACATATATTAGTATGGGACAGAAAAATGAATCAATCAACGAACTGACTGCTGATTGGAACTCACCATGTTCAGTGCTGATGTTTAGAAGGTTCTCCGTGGAGGGTTGCTCTTGCTCCCGACTCCTCGTTTTGAACAACCCGAATTTCACAGGTGCCATATCCTGGAAGTTGTTATATTATTATTTTTTAGAATAGAATAGAATAGAAAATCATTTATTCAAATAAACTTAATTTAAGCACTTTTGAACAGCCATTAACAATTTGTTTATCTACCACTCGTTCGAAAAGCTGTCTTATCACAAGAAGAACGAGCAAGAAACTTGTGTGTTGCTCTTTTAAATAAGCCTTGTAAGTTTACATTTACAAGTCGAAACGTGTGAATACGTGTGAATGTGTGTGTGTGTGTGCGTGTGTGTGTGTGTGTGTGTGTGTGTGTGTGAAAGTATGAATACGTGTATTAACAATATACATACTACGACCAATTAGTGGAGCTGCCATCTTTAAAGTTACCTACGTAGCTTCAATACATAGTATAAAACAAAGTCGCCCTATATATGCTGAAATCTTTACAACTACGCAACTATATATGCTGAAATTCAAGAGGAAGTTTTATATGTATAATAAATGTATACCCGTGCGAAGCCGAGGCGAGTAGGTAGTTTAAAAATAAAACATTATAAACGCATTAGTAGTTTAAATGAATAATAGAAATGTCAAACTTAGTTTTTTGTATACCTAAGTCAAATTCGTTAATTGCCGTGAATCGTAATAACATTTATTTGTCGTCTAACTACAAGTAATGGATATTTTGTGATTTATTACTCATATATTCTGCGTAGCCATAATTTTAAGTCTAAACCTAAAAGATGCCACATCAAATATGGGGTTTTCAGTTACCGAAAACTGCGCTATTTACGACCGCATTTCTAGCCAGTGTGCGACCATAACAAGCACTAAGAAAAAAAATTTATGCGCACAAGGTAGAAAATAAAAACTATTAATGATAGACAGATAGATAAACAGTTTTTGTCTACTAAAACTAACTACTAACAATTCTCTTCCCTTCGACTCTACGTTATTTACCTGCGCGGCGCGCTATAGTACCTAAATGTAGCTTAAAAATATCACATAAAAAAGTATTATATTTTTTTAATTAACCTTATTAGATATAATTATGCCACAATTTTATGTTAACGAACAATAGTCTACCGAATAAAATAATTCAAATGGATAAAAATAATTTAATAAATTTCTTTCTTTTACACTAAAAAAAATACCTACTGAGCAATTAATCACTAGGTGGGGCTTCTAATACAATTATTGATCATATTAAGTATTGCCTCGGTCTTTCAAACAAAGACAATTAGGTATAAATATAGGTAAATTGAATTACTATAACTTATAATAATTTAAAAAACATCTTTTAAATATTATTAATTTATACGGTTGCAAATATTTAATTACACCTATGTAGGTATTACGCGAAATAAAAACCTTTGTAACCTTTTGCAGAGACAGAGTATGAAATTTGTCATAGAAAAAAGGAAAAAGCAGAAAGCTAATGTTTATTATAATGCTTGAAAAATACGTTTAATTCATAAATTAAAAATGCCTTTGTTATAAATGCATATTTTGTTAAAAGTATATGTTCGTATATCGACCAATACTTTATTATTTTATATTTAATATTACAATCTGTATTTCATTTTAAGCATAGAGTAACTATTCATTATTTTTTTCACAAAGAAATCTAGGTAAAAAAAAGACTAGTATTATTTTTATTATTTCGTATTTTGTAATATTTTATAGGTTTTATTCATGGTATTAGTCACATCCGACATTTAAGAAGAGTTTATGATAGTTTTGATTGAAATAAAACATAATTACGACTTACCTTTCACGTATTAATTAAGAACGGTGAAAATATTCAATGAAACATACAATATATAACTACACCATACATTTTCTCACAAGGACTTTTGTATAAAGATTATTAAACACCAAAATCTCGAGGATTGAAATATATTAATCTCAAAAATACAAAGGTAGAAAATATTTGGATAAAAAATATGGGTTTTATGTGAGAATATTTAGTAAAATACAGATTTATTGGTACAAAAACGCTGGTACGTGTTTCACTAAAACTGAAAACATTGTACTGGGTGTTTTATAATACCGCCGTAACAGGAGTAAGTTTTCTTTTCAGTATCGTAACAGTAGGCTACTGGTATTTATCGCGTACCTGTTATTTAGGTACGATAGAATTTAATTTTTGTTCAAAATATTTAATTTTACAATATTTTGTATAAAATATGTACGTATAGTATAGTAGGTAAATGCTTATAAAATGGAAATTTCACACTATCAGTCCGTCCAATCCCTAAGACTGACGGGTCAGGAATTTCCTCCACGCAACAAAAATCCTCCTGATATCAAGAAAACTCTAAACACTAAATCGTGCAATCAGTTGTTCACTTCCATGATATAAGAAAGTTTTGTACAAAATTCATGATTCTGATCTAACAGTTTTTACTGAATACAGACTAGTACAGATTTGACACACTACAACATGCTGACAATCCTATATGAGGTTCTATTAAAACCTTTTTTATTTAAAATGTATTTATTATAAAATACATGTTAATAAAATTTATTACAACATATAAAAATGATGCTCACAGTAGCATATAAATTAGTGTATATGTCATGTAAATTGTAATAAATAAAAAATTGTATTATCTTTAATACATACAAATGTATGTAAATTGTACAAATTGTACAAATGTATGTGTTGTATTTTTAGTAAACAAACTGCAATGTAGTGATTTGTAACTGTTCTAGTTATCTCAGTCACATAAAAGTAACAGTTCCGCCGTTGTACTAATAAAACACCTTCCGCCATTTTGATTGACAACATCGCACTTGCGCGCGCATTTTGTTTATAATCCGTTTAACTTCGATTTCAGTATCTGGTTTACTTCGATGTCGTATTAAAATATACTTTACTGTAATACTATACGGTGTTTATTTCTATGTACAGAATTTCCTTTACACAAATTGACTTTAAATACATTAGCTTCCGTAAATTATAAGCACTAAATGGATTTATTCATATTAATTTTACATAAGTCGAATTCGTTAATTACCTTGATTCTATAGAGGTTATTTTTGGAGACTTATGCAAGGACACAGGGCGTAATTACGACTTTTATTTATAGTCTAACTACAAGTAATGCGTCATATAGCCATGATTTTGAGTCTAAACCTAAAACATGGAATACCTACTTTATGCCACAGTTCTAGGTTATAATGTACTTTCTCTTCTCTATATTCAATAAATAACAATATAGTAAAATGTAATGATTATCTCATTGCTAGCAATCTACCATAACAGATTGAGTTTCTCACGGTTTTTCCTGGAATCCATCGCGATACGTTCCTTATGAATTTTCCTAGATATGGTAACTGAGCTGATCTCAAGCTCATTCTATCACCCTCCACTGGTATCCTGCCAGCCTACACCGTTAACGCAAGTATACCATCCCATCATCATCCATTAAAAAAAATGAAATAGAAATAGAAATAGAAATAATCTTTATTCAAATAAACTCATTACAAGCAGTTTTGAATAGTCATATTTTGATTCTACCACTCATTCTGTTTTTTGATTACGTACTATATTCTTTTATCTACTTTTTAAAATTTTCATATTTTTTTAATTTTATATATTGACATTTTGGTGACATTTCTTTGTATTTATCTAGATACTACAAAACGTAGGAAACAATAAAAATATTAATCATTTCCGAACTGATTTTCCGTATAGTAATGCTTAATCAAAATAATTGATTACTGTTAATCCTCCATTATTTTGACAAGGTTTCTAAAAATAGTTCTCATTGGAAATCTTCTTTTAAAATAATTTGACGGCATTTTTTGTATTTACTTAAATACTACAATATGTAGGTAATAATAAACATATTTATCATTTCCGAACTGATTTTCAGTATAATATAATTGTTTAATCATAATAATTTATTACAGTTAGTTCTTCATTATGTTTGACAAGGTTTTTTTTTAAATAGTTGTCATTGGGAATTTTTTAAATCAAATTATAGAAGAAACATATACTTTTAAAATTTATGTAGATTAAAAAATAAAACTATACAAGATGGAGACAACTTTTATCTTTAGTATATTATACGTATTTTTTATTTATATAGATAAATAGCATTATAAGAAATATACTAGAAGAATAGAGATTTATTGAAACACGTATTATAAAGTATGAGTCAAGAATTGAACTAAAAAAAAGATTGTATGTGAACATAATTATAAACTTAAATACTTTATAATACAAACATATTTCTGATCTATAATAGATTACTTTTAGCGATAAGGCCGCCGTTTGTTTGATAAATTTATGAAAGCCGTACGTAGAGCAACGCTATGAGTCGTAGCGGTGTAGCGTAGTTGAGGTCTTAGGCATAGCACATAGAGGTAAATCCCGTAGAATATTGTAGATGGTTGCTATGATAAAATTAATATTATAAATGTGTAATTTAATAACACCGGACAATTCACAGAGCGCCATCTAGTCCCAAGTTGAACAGAGCTTGTGTTATGGATACTCATGGATCAAGTGATAGATATATTTAATTTCTAGACAACTGATATGAATACATAGATTTTTTTTTATAAATAAATACGTAATATACATAGGAAACACCCAGATCGTCACAAACAATGCAAATGTTGTACTGTAATCGAACCCGCAACCATGGGAAAGCAAGGCGGTGTCCTAAACCGCTATACCACCGACGCCGTAATTTTGTTTTTTTACAGTAACAGGAAGAATGAAGAATTTTAGAATCTCTATGAAATAGTAGCACGTGTGAGTTCGATTCATCAACCACCATTAAGAAAATAAGAAATTATGCTGACATTCGTTTCATTTATTGACTAGTTGCCTAGACAACAATGAATAGTAGTCTATAACAATACTTATTAATACAATTTTTTGTAGTGTGGAAGGAATCGAACCCGCGACAATCAGAAAGAAAGACTATGTGTCTTTCTTTCCACCAGATGTGTCCACCAGTCCACCAAAGACATGATTCACAAATATTGGTATATATAAAGGTAGGAATAAAAAAACAAACTTGTATTTCCGCATTACAATTTAATACATTTTTTTCATAACATACTTCTCAAGTTTTATAAATTATGTTTAAACTGATGTTGCAATACCTAATAAAAGTTTTCACCCAGCCTGAAAACCGAATTTAGGCATTATAGCATCTTAAATATTTAAAAGTAATGAATTTGACTAGATTGAAAGAAAGTAAAAGATTATTGGCAAAATATAAAATAAATTAATACATTCTATATAATTAAGATTCGTTATCAATGTCATTAAATAAATAAATAATAATTAACCCCTGTAGGAAATTAATAAGGAAGTATTTATCATTGTTATTTTTATTTTTATTATTACTAATAATTATGGCATTATGAACTGTAATGTCTTAGTCTAGTGCGTACAGTTAAAAAAGGGCATCCAAGAATTTCCCGCCAAAAAGGTTGATAAAACAATATCGTCATTGTACACAGTCAATTTATGATAGATATTTATTATTATGTATTTAATTAGTCTTTTACTTATAGCCGAGATTTTTAAACAGCACATCTTCATTAATAGAATGGTCCATGAATGGCGTCTCTCGGAAAATTACAGATGCGTCCGCTATATGCATTTGCCGTTTTCCATATCTGAAATAAAAAAAATATTATCATCTTAGAAAACAAATTTAGGAAGAGCGCCATCTATTTCATTTGTGATGAACTTATTAATATAACTATATTTTCAAACAATTAGCAATGGTTTGTTCACAAAAACCAAGACTAGTACAGGAAAATTACCCAAGTTTTAACTGTTAGTTTATAATAATTAATACAATACGAATACATAGGTAAAAATGTTTTTTGTCCCATTTATTGAAACATGCATAGTCAATACTTAAAATAAAGCATACAACAGTTAAGTCATGACTTTTATAAATATTTGTTGCGAGTTATTTATACTAGATGGCGCTTTAAAGGAAAATATACTGGCGCCCAACGTGGCCTTCCAAATATTCGATAACTATATTTTTAATAGAAAATGTAAACAAAACAAATAAAAGGGTCAATGTAATCTCGTATAAGGGACTAAATTTGTAAACGAACACGACACGTGTGAGTATCTCATTTAAAAATACCTAAACTATTTACGTAGTTTCGATAATATTACATATTGTTGAAACATAACTTTATAAATTTGTAAAAATAAATAAAATATATATACACGCTTACAATAATAATTTCAAAATACATTTATTTATTTATTTTAAAACTATTTTAACAGGTCTATTTAATATTGCCACATTACGCTGGACATGTTTGGATGCAATGTGACAGTAAGGAGCACACAGCCGCGCCGCGTTGAATTAGTTTCAGTTTGTTATGGGTGTTTACATCACTCACAGAGAGTCTATCAGAAATATTTTAATAATATTATAAACGTGAATGTTTGTATGTATTATATATTTTATAAACGCGGATATTGTTGGACATAAAACTCCTTTGTTATATTGACATATATTATTTGTATATAAAAAGAGAAAACATATTAATAAAAAAGACGACTGTGAATAAAATGGTGTTTCCTTATTTGCCCTCTGCATAAATAAAATCCCAATAGATATTTGTTACTCTTTCGCGCAAAAACTACTGAACGAATTTTGATGAAACTTTATAGTAATGTGGCTTACGCATCAGAATAACACTCTCTCACATGCTATATCTTTTATTGACATTTAACGCGGGTAAAACGCGGGCACAGCTTGTATATGTATATGTACATATACTGATATAGAAACCTTTTTTTTGGTCGGATTTCTTTTTTCGATTTCGAACTAACAACATTTATGTCTACTAAGTCATAACGTTCTCTCAACCCACACATTCTGAATAATGTCTTAAAACCAACAAACAATAGAAATACAAAAGAAAAGAGTCAACAATCTTCATTTAAATGTCTCGATCTTTTAGCTAAATATATCATTTGACAGAAAGGGATACAATACAATCCAATTATTTCTGCATTTTTCATAAAACGATACGCTAGTGCTGCGGTTGCCAAAGTTAACTGCAGCGCGACGCATTTTTTTATATACCACGATTATTGAAAACAAGCATACGGCTATTCTTTTATGGATGATAATGGAATGGAGCACCTGTCTGCGCTAAATGGCGCGGCACCAGTGGAAGATGATATGAGGTCAGGTCAGGTGGCCCATCGTGGTGAATTTGTTAAGAAATCATCACGACAGTTTCCAGGGGGAATCGCGTGGAGGTCAACTTGACATGGTATATTGCTAGCAATGCGATTATTAACCACATAACTAACAATCACCTTCCTTCCTATACGGATATTTAAACGGACGGTAAACGGTTACCATATGCTGAGTGTCAGCCATGTTGCCAACCATATGTATAAATAAGATGATTTTTTGTAATTGTATGTATGTATATACATATATATGTAAAATGTACCTTTGTCAAATGTGTAAATGTAATAATTGTTGTCAATAAATGTTTTTCTTCTTCTTCTTCTTCCTATGGACGCCTGAAACACTGGGGGTGTCACGTGCGTTTGTACCGTGTAAGGAATAGAAAATTCTAAATTCAAAAATCGTATATTCATTATAACCGCTTATGAACGTTAATTTTTTTCCCTACTGTCCCGTTCAGTATATAGATCCAATTGAGAAGAACTGGCAAGAAACTCAATTGAATTACTTTTTTTTAAAGCCAGTTTATTTACAATATATATTTATACAGGTGTCTATGTCTAACATTAAATGAAAATCCCGTGCATGAACAACTATTGCCATGCACCCTCGTTATTCAAGTAATTGTTTAGTAAGTAGAATTTGCTTAACAAATATGATTTAACAGATGTTTTGATTAAATAACGTTTTGCTACAGCGCTAGACCACCGTGGTCGTAAATTAGCTATGGTTCTTTCCAGGGGCACTGCATGGATGTCCATATTATAGGGGTCATTTTTTTGAAGGGTTTTGGGCTATTGTCAGGTGCTAAGGCTTGTAATACTGCGACCTGCATAGATCCATTCTGCTCTCCCTTTTTCAAAGTTCGCTACCTAGACCCATGAGGGGTCGTAGTTTTTTTTATATGGATTAGTAATGGTGCACCCACCTGCGCTAACGGTTTACGCTGGTGGGGGATGATAAGATGAGCACGAGGTCAGGTCAGTTAGTGCAACGTGACAAATTCACCAGGAATTTATCATGATGGTATCCAGAGGGAACTGCGTGGAGGTCAACCTTTGTCACAATGGGCTAACTGACCTGACCTCATGCTCGCCTTGTGGCCTTTTTTTTTACTTGGAGAAAATCCCTCATGGAGAAGGCAACGCCCGGGGAAGGCAAGCGGGTACTGTGAGACTCCTACTCACTAAAAACTCCAAGGTATCCCGACGAAGCGCCTATTGCCGGAATCGCGGGATCGAATGTCAGTCCACCGCAACTCCGGCGGCGTCGGCCCGCTTTAGTTTGCGAGTCCCTTCGCTTTTATTTTGGGGGTCCACCCCACCTCTCTTGAGAAGGCACGCGGGGATACACGCGCCACCTTCTCGGGCTTTTCTTGGAGATGCGACCGCCCCCGCGGTCACACCTCAGGCCCTTGCGGCGATCTGAGGCGCCCATGCGCCCCTCCACCTCGGATCGCTTTGGATGGAGCCACCCTTATTGGGCGATGTCCACCCTGCTCTCCACTGGTGCCCTGCGTCAACCGTTAGCAAAGGTGCGTGCACCATTCGATTATCATGTATATAAAAAAAAAATATCCAGTGGGTCCACAGTTTGAGAAGCACTGCACTAGTGATTTATCACATAATTGTAGTTATTATATATTCAGCGATTTCACAGACCATAAACGACCCTCTATTCTTATTATGCTACCATCTATTTCAGTATACGAGTGTAAATATTTTATTAATAGATATATAATTACATGCTGTAGCGGGGTATGACAAAAGGAATAGGATATTAAGGAATCAGACTCAGCTATTTATATTTAGACTAGCTTTTATGCGGTACTTCGCTCGCAATGTTATTTTCTGTTAATAATAATAATAATCACGAAGTGACCGAAATGTGGGGGTGATATCCACCGAAATCATTCCAATCGTTATGTCGGTGAACGGTCTTAATCCAACCCGTCTGGAACAACATCTCAGACGGTTGGGATTCCGAGGCGGCTCACTCCCGGGAAAGATGCAGAAAGCTGTGCTCTTAGATTCTGCCCGCATTGTACGCCGGTTTCTCTCCCTGAGGCCCTGAACCCCGGCCGACTGTGCTTCTGCCGGGGGTAAGTTGCCATCTCTTCTCCTTAAGAGAGGAGATGAGAATTTTTGTAAAGTTTAAAATATAATAATAATAATAATACGCCGCAAAGCGGAAAAATTGGGAATGTAAAGTTACAATGATTATTTAAAAGAGCAACACGCAAGTTTCTTGCTCGTTCTTCTTGTGATGAGACAGCTTTCCGAATGAGCGGTAGATTAAAAGAATGATAACTATGACTATTAAAAAGAGCTTAAATTAAGATTTTGAATAAATGATTTTCTATTCTATACAACTAACCGGAAACCAAGGTCTATGCACAAGAAAAATCTGCAGATTTCGTCAATTTGAAGAGGACACGCCACTACATATCCTATGTGGTTGTAGCCCACTCATGCATCAACGTAATATTTCCTTTGGAAAGTATATACTCTATCCTGAGGAGATAAAAACCATCGCTCCTAAGAATATCCTTCAATTCTTGTCCCTGACGGGTCTAGGTAGCGAACTCTGATAATGGGCGAGCACAAGATCTATGTAGGTCGTGCTACAGGTCCGAGCACCTGCCAATAGCCCAAATAATCCAATAAAAATAAACCAGCAACCACCGAGGTAGACTTTGCAAAACGTCTCCAGTTAAAGACACCAAGATGTAGTAGAACGCTTTATGTACCGTGCGATGAATCCAACCTGCGACCATCGGATGTAAGGCGGTGTGATAAATCGTTAAACCACTGAGGCCGTTTACATAGGGACAACACTACGAACAGGGGGGAAGGGGAGTGTTAGTTATGGACTAATGATCCTATTACTAGCAATGTAACATGTCAGGTAACCTCCACGCGGTTCCCCCTGGAAATCATCGTGATATATTCCCGGTGAATTTGTCACGGTGGGCTAATTGATCTGACTTCATGTTCATCCATATCCTCCACTGGTGCCCCGCCAGCGTAAACCGTTAGCGCAGGCGGGTGCACCATTCCATTATCATCCTCTAAAAAAAACACTACGAACATCACATTATTATGCTTTGAAAAATATGACATGCCCGTTATCCCATAATTTCACTATTGCTTAGCACAGCTTATTTGCCATTCTAACAAGTTAGAAAACTGTTAGCTGAATAGATTCCAGCAGTTTGTTTGTTGAGCATAACACTTTTTTTATAACACAGTACCCCTGTGTTATGATAAAAAATGTTATGCTCTTTATCCCGTAATTTCTTCATTTGCATTTTATTTCACAGCTTATTTGTCATTCCAAAAAAATAAAACACCTTTAGCTCAACAGATTCCGCCATTTCAATTTGGAATCCATCTTTTTTTTTATAACACAGGGGACAAACGAGCATGCGGTTCACCTGATGGTAAGTGATTACCGCCGCCCATGAGGATGCTCATGGGCGGCGGTAATCACTTACCATCAGCAACACCGGGGAATAGCAAGTACGTTGTCGACCTTTTAAAAAGGAATAAGCTCTTTTCTTGAAGGTTTCAATATCGTATCGGTTCGGAAATACCATTGCTGAAAGGTGATTCCACAATGTGGTTGTGCGTGGCAAAAAGTTTCTAGAAAACCGCACTGTGGAGGACGGCCATTTATCCAGATGATGGTATTTTAAATCGTAATGTATTCATTTAAAAAAAGAATACGCCCTGACAATTTATGAAGATCGCCTTTGAGCACAGAGTAGGTATGCGCGTTACAGAAAGTTTGTTGCTTCATTCATAATCTTGGAACTTTTAAACGCATCGCTTTCAAACTCCCTTCAACTTTGAAGAGTTGATGTACTTTTAATTAAGAGGAAAACATAATTAAAGTGTAAATATACTTCGATGCGGGTGGTTATCTTATATATAGTATTCTCGTGTCACGATGTTTGTCCGTGATGCACATTGTGTGAAATTTGATCCAACTTGAAAGATAGCTTACATCTCAATTTATAGTCGCAATATTATTTTATTATCTTAGCCACAGCAACGCGTGCTCGGGTCTGCTAGTCATATATATAAAATTCTCGTGTCACAATGTCAGTTTAAAACCATTTTGCTGTGGCTCCGCAATTCCAGAACACGTCCATTACCATTTCTAAGGGTATTTGGATCCTCGATGTCGACATTTCTAGTACAGTTGAGTTCTGTAGTCACATCGAAGAAAATATGAAGCTGGCGTCCAAAAAGCTCGGTGTACTCAATAGAGCGATGCGGTACTTCACTGCGGATCATAGATTCATCTTATATAAGCAACAAGTTCGGCCGCACATGGAGTACTGCTCTCATCTTTAGGCAGGAGCACCTGGATACCAGCTCGGTCCTTTTGGCTCAGTTCAGAGATGTGCTAGTAGTATTGTCGATGATCCCAATATCTCTGGCGGTATCAAACCACTTAGCTTGAGGCGAGACTTGAGGGGCTTTGTGTGTTCTACCGAAATACAACGGACTGTGTTCTGAGGAATTGTTCGACATGATGCCTACGGCTACCTTTTACCATCGCACCGTTCGCCATCGACAGAGAATTTATCCCCACACGATAGAACCTAAATAGTCACGTACAGTTTCAGAGGAGCTTCCTCCCACATATGTTAATATGGTGGAATGAACTACTTGCCGAGGTTTAGACTACTGCATGAGAGACTACAGTATGGGGTTTTTTTAAGAAGGGTATATTAAGGTTTATTAAGGGTCGGCAACGCGCACGTGACACCCCTGGTGTCAGGCGTCCATAGGCTACGGTAACCATCTACTACCAGGTGGGCTGTATGCTTGTACCATCATAAAATAAGAAAAAAAAAACAGTTATCATACTCCTCCGAAACGGATTTGCATATTCAGTAGGTCAGAGAATCGAATCGGAACTGACTTCACAATCATCATATCAACGTCCACTGGCCCCGCCAACGTAAACTGTTAGCGCAGGCGGGTGCATTATTCCATTATCATAAATAAATCTATACATATATATATATATATAAAATTGGAGTGTCTGTTTGTAATATAGAAATAACCGTTTTTTACTACATGCATATGAATATAAACACCAAAATAACATTTTTTACAATTTTTGTCTGTCTGTCTGTTTGTTCCGGCTAATCTCTGAAATGGCTGTGCCGATTTTGACGCTACTTCTTTTGGCAGGTTAGTTACTGAGGCTACTTTTATTTTAGAAAAATAAAGTTAAAGTTAAATTCCACGCGGACGAAGTCGCGAGTACAGCTAGTATGTATATATATATATATAAAGAAGTTTTAGTACGTACCTTCCTCTACCGTGTACTGAATAGTACTCCTGTAGTTCCTTCAAATAGTTGGATATCTGCTCTGCGGTGTCGAAGCGCTCGGGGCGGCGTGGTCGTGGGTACTGCGCTTGCGTCGCACACGACAAGATGGCGGACATCAACAAAATGGCCGACAGAAGAAGTCGCATTGTGGCTCTACAAACATAAATACATATATCTTATTTATATTGTACTAGCTGCTCTCCCCGGCTTCGCTCGGGTGTACATGTATTACATATAAACCGTCCTTTTGAATCACCTTTTCTATTACTAAAAACTGTATTAAAATCCGTTGTAGTTTAAAGGATCTAAGCGGAAGCGACTTCTTTTTATACTAGATAGATATCAAATACTTAGAGAGATATCAACTACGGATATCATGTAATCATTCCAGAGTACTAAGATGTCACGCCTCTTATCCTGTAATTTCACTGCCTAATCTGCACCTTATAACCGAAACAGCTTACAAAGCAAGCTGCTTGGCTGAAATATACTGAGGTACAAACGCAGACGAGTTTGTACCAAGTTTAGCTGGGTAAAATAGAAATTTAACTAAATAATTAATTTGACGCCCTCGGTTGTACGGTTTAGCACATCACTTTACTTCCAATGGTCGCTGATTCACTTCCTCGCACGGTACAAACATTTGTATTCATGAGTATGATTGTTTGTGTATCGTTCTGGTTGTTTTCTATGTATAATATGTATGTATTATAATCATTACTAATATTATAAATGTTAGAGTAGGGCTGTTTGTTACGCTTTCATGCAAAAACTACTGAACCGATCATCATGAAATTTTGTACACATGTTCTTGAAGGTATTAGAATAACATATGATATTTTTTATTAAAAAAAAAAGCTAATAATTTTTATAAATACAGGAATTTTTCAATGAAAAAAGTTAGTTGTGTTTGTGCCTGTTTGTTTTAATTTAGTGATGATTCTTTATTTTTTTTTTTTTTTTATTTTTTATACTAATCAACGATACATATATATAATGTAAAAATTTAATTATGTAGTTTATATAAGATTTATTAATGTGATTGCTGTAAAAAGGGTTCATGTTTGATTCTATACTTTTAGTAAATTAAGACCAATTTTGTTACAACATGTAATAGCAATAAATAAATGAATGAATGAATGAATAAAATACAAAAAAAAATGTCAACATTTTGCTATAGAATATATTCATCATATTTAGATACTTATTTAATGGATTCAATGCGAGCGAAGCCGCAGGCAAAAGCTAGTTTGTAATATTAATAATTGTGTTATGCTTGCGTGCATCCAACAGGATCCATCTTGATCGAAATGTATCAGTTATAAACATATTTGTAAACATTATGGAATGCAATCAATATTGCGTATAGAGTAATGACATAAATGAATTAATTCTGGTTTACATGAGATTTGACTATTTTTGCGACAGCATTATGGGAAACAAAGCGCCCACGCAAATGACATTGTAATGTTACGTATATAGCCATATAACCCGGGTGTCTAAAAATTCTACGATATTGTTCCGTTCACTTGATTGCTACGCCACTGTAACAATCTACAGACGAGAGAATCGATAACGTAATCGAGATATCGGAACCTATCTAAATCTCTTAATCGATTTAAAATAACATAATCTATTGTACGCATTACGCGTACGGTTGTACGTTATCTTGAGATAAATCTGTGTTTGATAACAATGAGACGTTTACTACTCGTAGTAAATTGTATTATTTAATCAATAAAATCGTAACAGTTTTTTTAGAAATTCAATTAAAGTTTTTGCCAGTTCTTCTCAATTGAATGTGCATACTAAATTGGACATTATGGAAAAATTGAGTTGAGTTTTTTACTAGTTCCTCTCAATTGAATCTGTAATTTGGATATCAAGTTTTTTGTTTTAATATTTGTTTCCCTAAACAAATATTAAAACAAAAAACTTGATGTTCATAAACGGCTATAATGTGTTACATAAATCATTTATTATGTTATTTTTTTGTTTTGATTTTTTATAGCATAGGGGACAACGAGCTCGCGGGTCACCTGATGGTAACCGATCACCGCCGCCCATGAGCACCCGCAACACCAGGGGAACTGCAAATGCGTTTCCTTTTAAGAAGGAATGATCTCTTTTCTTGAAGGTTTCATTGTCGTATCGGTTAGTTAGCTTAGGTACAGTGATTATTTCCGCCGTCGGAGTTGCGGTGGACTAAATTCGATCCAACTCCGGCACAAGGCGTTGGGTGAGGGACGTCTTGGACTTTGGGGTGGGCGGGTCTCCATGAGGGCTTTTCTCAAAAAAAAAAATGGTGCAGTGATTATTAAATCTAAAATCGGCCCGGACAGTGAGGAGTTCAGCTAACATTGCACGTGTTTACTTTATCTCGTGTACACATTTCAAAATGGCCGCCACTAAAGTAAAGAGGCCTCTTCCGCTGTCCTAAATTTAGAATTATTAACTAAAATTTTCAATAAACCATAGTTTGTTACAGAGTGAGTATTTATAAGTGGCAACAAATATTATAGACTCCTGCTTAAAGTTTATAAAGAAATAAATATATAACCCAGCGTCATATAGTTCCATGGTAAGCAGAACTTGTGGGTACTAGACAACTGATACAAATACTTAGATTTTTTCTTAATAGATATATATAAATCACCCACACCGATACAAAACAATCATACTAATGAATACAAATATCTGCACCGTGCGGGAAATCGAACACGCGACCATCGGATGTAAAGCGGTGTGCTAAACCACTAGAACAGCGAAGCCATCTGAGTCAGCCATATGAAAACGAAAAAAATTACGAAAAATGTCGTATTTTTTGCCGAATTGAGAACGAATCACTATTTTTTGTAGTAGGTTCATAAACACCAGACTATTACGTTATGTTATCGCCAAGTTTCTTATCAGTAACGATCTACAGAAAGAAACATCAACATCAGCTCTGAGGTACACTTAAAAATAGAACCAAAGTTGGTTGAAACAGCAGACGAAGGTAGGTCATATATACCCTAAGTTTATTTTAACTACCGATCGGTTCTCATGATCAGGGTACTCGGTTTGGATCCAAAACTTGTCACGAAACTACAAAGACCCGAAGTTAAGTTAAAGAGATATACCCACACAAATAATTCAAGACATCGAGCACTGATTAGAACGGTATTTCGATATAACTATACGACAAATCGAAACTATAATCATTAATGCAGGACACTTTAACCACTTATCCAGAGGGGTGAAGGGATCTTAGTACTTGAGCTTAGTACGTGAGCCCGGTGGTCTAGCAGTCCGACCGGTCTACGACCGATGGTCGCGGGTTCGATTCCTCGCACAGCACAAACATTTGTATTCATGAGTATGATTGTTTGTATCGGTCTGGTTGTTTTCTATGTATAATATGTATGTATTTACAAAAAAAATCTATATATATGTATCAGTTATACTAGATAACTGATACATATATGTATGTCAAGCTATTCTTTCTCTATTTGACGGTCTCGGTGGTTTAGCTGTTAAGCACACCGCTTTATTTCCAATGATGTCGCGTGTTCGATTCCTCGCACTTTGTATATATGAGTGTGATTGTTCGTATCGGTCTGGATGTTTTCTATATATATTATGTATGTATTAATGAAAAAATATATATCTATGTATTTGTATCAGTTATCTAGTACCCATAAAACAAGCTTTAGCTAACTTAACTTGAGTCTACTTTGATTACTTGTTGTTAATTAAATATAAGTAAATCAATATTTATTTAAAAGAGCAACACACAAGTTTCATGCTTATTCTTCTTGTGATGAATCTGCATTCCGAATAAGCGGTAGAATAAAAAAAAATTTACTATTCAAAAGTGCTTATATTAAGTTTATTTGAATAAAGATTATTTCTATTTCTGTTTCTATTTATATTATATTATCGAAGTCGTAATGGCACAGAGATTATTTATTTATCTACTAGCTAATCCGAGCAACTTCACCTGCATCACATTTATTTGACATTTATTTTGTCCTATTTACATAATATCTTCTTAAATTGTAACCTATATGTTATTCTCATGAATAATATATTAATTCTATTAATGTATGTATGTATTTATGTGTAAACGTTGTTTTGCCATATAAATTTATAATAGATATTAAAAAATAGGGGTTGGTGATGGAAGGGTGAAAATTTAGGGTTGTATGTACTTTTAATGCCACATTATAAATGAATAAAATAATTTTTTCACAATTAAAAAAAATGTTATATGTGGACAACTTTTATCACTTAGGAGAATGAAAAATACATAATAGCCGATTCTCTGACCTACTGATAATGCACGAGAATCTAAATATATATAACTCAAAGGTGACTGACTGACTGACATAGTGATCTAGCAACGCACAGCTCAAACCACTGGACGGATCGGGCTGAAATTTGGTATGCAGGTAAATGTTATGACGTAGGCATCCGCGAAGAAAGGATTTTGATTATTTCTACCCCCAAGGGGATAAAATAGGGGATGAAAGTTTGTATGAAACTTTGTCAATTTTAAACCGATCGGGCTGAGACTTTGCATGCATAAAACTACAATGACGTAATCATCCCCTAAGAAAGGATTTTGATAAATTCCACCCCTAAGGGGATAAGTTAAGGCGAGCGAAGCCGCAGGCAAAAGCTAGTTTTATTATATAAGATTTAATATTTTGAGTGCTGATATTTTGAAAAGCTCTACTTAGCTTGGGACTAGATGGCGTTGTTTTTATTATCCAGGGCTATTAGTAATAGTATAAATTACTGGAATTTTGTATAAACTCACACGCTTAAGTTTTAGCATAACTGATTTTCTGTACAAAAGAAAATGCAAAAATAATTCAAGTTACAACAATGATGATTTCCTTGTTGTGATTTACTTTTTTATTTTCCCGCTTTTTCCAATAGACCCGCTGCGAAAATTACCCGCAAATCGCTATTCAACAGGTGCTAGTGATGTGAATACCAAACGTAAAATTATATCGATATATTTTTATTTTACTTAAAATAAATTTGATATATCAAAAAGGGAAGCCTAATAGATTTATATTTATTTTATTTCCGCTAATTCTAAAACTAACTAAATTAAAAAAAACTAATATTATAAAGGCGAAACTTTGTGAATAGGTATGTAT